ATTGGGCCAATTACAGAAGAGTAGGGCAATCGGGCCAATCAGAGAAGAGTAGGGCCATAGGGCTAATCAGAGACCAGTAGGGCAATTTGGGCCAATCAGAGAAGAGTAGGGCCTAATCAGAGCAAAGTATGGTAATCGGGTCAATCGTAGGAAAGTAGGGCCAATCAGAGAAGAGTAGGTCAATTGGGCCAATCAGAGAAGAGTAGGGCCATCAGGCCAATAAAAGAAGATTAGGGCAATCAGGCCAATCAGGGAAGAGTAGGGCCAATAAGAGCAAAGTATGTTTATCGGGTCAATTGTAGAGGAGTAGGGCCATCAGGCCAATCAGAGAAGAGTAGGGCAATCGGGCCAATCAGAGAAGAGTAAGGCCAATCAGAGCAGAGTATGGTAAATGGGCTAATCAAAGAGGAGTAGGGCCATTGGTCCAATCAGAGAATAGTAGGGTCATCGGGCCAATCAGAGAAGAGTACGGCAATTAGACCAATAAGTGAAGAGTCGGGCAATCGGAGAAGAGTAGGGCCATCGGGCCAATCAGAGAACAGAAAGGCATCGGGTGTGGCTATCCTATCTGGCTAATCAGAAAAAAAAAACTGGGAGCCGGATCCTTTTCTCTCTAGAACCAAACCATTTCCATCTCTCACTTTCACAGACACAGTCTCTCTCACACACACACACGCACGTACGCACGTATTCTCAACTGAACTGAATGTTTTTTTACTGATAAAGCTTTCTTTTAAAAATCTCTATTGAGATGATAAGTGTGACGGAGCTGAATGAATCTGCTAAATAAAGCTGATGAGCAGTGAAACAGCTTTTCCTGAGCTCAGTCTGCGTGCATGACAGCTTCCTCACTGAACACTGCATACACTGAAGTGCTTCTTTTTGATTGTAGAGATCATGTTCACAGAGACCCGTTAAAGAGAATAAATAAGGCCAGCACAGATCTTTTAGACAACAGCATTTTTAATACAAAACCTCAAACAGCTCTCTTTAATATTTTATTTACACATATATTTATCATTCACCTTTCTAAATGTTGTACACAAACTGCAGATCAAAATGTGGAGAAATTAAAACGCCACAGAGCGTGACACTGTAACACAGAAGGAAGACGCAGACACTCGCACATTCAGACACACACTTAATTATAAAGATCTCAAGACAAATGAACAGTTGATTAAATCAAACCTGCAATAGAAGTTCTGTGATACTCTCTGTACAAGATTAATTCAGCATAAAGACTCCACAATGAAGAGCTGGAGCTTTACACCTGTCTCTTTATCTAGATTAAAACAAAACATCATGATAACAATACTTAGGATAGCAATAAAATGGCTATGAAGGATACACACACACACACATCCTCCTGGGTATTGCTGGATTTCAATCTCGATTTGGGGCTGCGGGGAATCAGCTAAAACAGAACAGACGAGCTTCTGTTCAGAGGAAAGAAAACAGGACAAATGCTGGATCTGAACACTTTTACACACAGGACAGGATGCAGAACTGCCACACGTCACAATAAGGGTTCATCAGTGAACGACGCTGGTAAAGCTGAACTGACAATGCACAATACTTTAGGTTTGGGTCGATAGACGATTATGGCCAATAGACAACACAATGCTGAGCCGGCATCGCCGATCCTCCGCGATGGGTAAAACAAAGACCATGCAAGACAGGTAGTTGAAAGGCTACAAATAATGAATTCGTTATGAATTAATTAATTATTCATAAATAATTAATTCACCTTCGTCTATGATGAGGATGCCATCGTCCATTACAATGCTTCACATTAGACATCGTATGATGCCAAATAGGTTGACATCGCCCAACTCTACAATACTTCAACATTTTACCACAGCAAGCCTTTTACTGCCGCAAGACTAATTAATATCAACATTTAAATAAAATAAGCGTCGCTGTGATTTTTTTTTTTACAAATTGTAGGTTATTACATTCTGAAAAAAGAGTGAGAAATCTTGCTTTATATATAAGTTTGTATGTCAAAGGGAAAGCTGCAAAAAAAAAAAAAAAAAATATATATATATATATGTGTATGTATATATATATATATATATATATATATATATATATATATATAGAAAAATAACAATTGAGAGGTATAAATGTTTTTATGGCTTAATAAAAAAAGGGTTTTGTCTTTACACAGCTTTAATTGGTAACATATTATTCCATATATGTATTAATATTATTTTATCTAAAGGTTAATAAAATATCAAGCCTGGTCAATGTATTGTTGTGTCAACATAAATAAGAAATTTAAAAGAATCTAAATAAAATTGGATGATATAAACATACAATTGTAAGATATAAACTCTGACATTAAATGACAAATGTAGAACAGTGGAAACACTGACACAAGCTTAAACATTTGTAAGAGAAATACAAAACAATAGTGAGAATTCCCACAATTTACTTAATGTCAAAAATGCAGGATATAAACAAAAATAAACCCTGATGTAATGAGAAAAACTGAGATTTGCTACATCCAAACTTAGAACTGAAAAAAGGTCATTGTTCTGACTGAGAACGTTCCTGAAGGTTAATAAATGCAGTATTGCTCATTGCTAGATCAGGTTCATCAATGTGTTAAATAAACCTTATCATAAGGTGTTTATTATAAACCAGTCCAAAAAACTGACGTCGTTTAAAAACATTTCATTTTCTGGATGAAATTACACGGAACCACATTATTTCTAGAAACATCAGATGATATTAAGAATAAATGTTTACAGACATCCGTATCAAATATGAAATTGTCCTGTTTTGCAGTTCCACATCCTGCTGAGCTGATTCAATTCCAACTCGAATTCACTCTCAAATTCCAACTTGAATTGAAATTTAAACTCAAACTTAAATTCAAACTTCCATTCCAACTTAAACTTATTAAAATTCTAATTTACATTCAAATTCAAACTTGAACTCAAACTCAAATTTAACCTAAATTCAAACTCAAATTCAATTGTGAATTCAAATTCAAACTTGAATTTGAATTTAAACTCAAACTCAAATTCAAACTTGAATTCAAGTTTAAACTCAAATTCAAACTTGAATTCAAGTTTAAACTCAAATTCAAACGTGAATTTAAATCCAAACTCGAATTTAAATTCCAACTCAAATTCAAAATCAATCTTGAATTTAAATTTAATATCAAATTCAAACTCAAACTTAAAATCAAATTCAAACTTGAATTCAAACTTTAATTAATATTCAAACTCAAACTTAAATTCAAACTCAAATTCCAACTTAAATTCAAATTCTAATTTAAATTAAAATATAATATAAACTTCAATTTTAAACTTGAATTCAAACTTAAATTCAAACATGAATTTAAATTCAAATTCAGATTCAAACTGGAATTCAAATTTAAACTCAAACTTAAATTCCAACTGAAATTTAAACTCAAATTCCAACTGAAATTTAAACTCAATTTCAAACTTGAATTCAAATTCTAATTTAGATTCAAACTCAAATATAAGCTCAAAATTAGACTCAAACTCAAGTTCAAGCTTAAATTCTTTCAGTTGAAACCGAGAGTGATCAGCTGAGAGTGAGTCTCTTCTTTAGCTCTGAACAGAAGCTCTTAAAAAGCAGACATAAAATCAGATAAGCCATGGCTGCTGCTTTACACACACACACACACACACACACACACACACACACACACACACACACACACACACACACACACACACACACACACACACCTGATCTGGACGAGTTCATCTGTCATTTCATCATATGGATCAACCCGACACATGGCTTCAGGAAAGAGGCAGTGCAATACGTTCACAATCACAGTCAGAGACAGACAGACCCACTGCCAGAGTGTGTGTGTGTGTGTGTATGCGTGCATGTCTGCATGAATGTGTATGCAAAAGTGTGTTTTTCTGTGTGAGTGCATGTGTATGTGTTTCCAGTCTGTGTGAATGTATATCTAGAAATGAGTGTAAGTGCGTTTGTGTGCGTTTGTATGCAACAGTGTGTGTAAGAGTACGTGTGCGTGTGTGAGTGCATGTGTATGCTTGAGTGTGAAAGCATGCGTTTGTGTGTATGCATGAGTGTGTGTCTGTTTAAGTCTGTGCTAGTGTGAGTATGCATAAGTGTGTGAGCATGCTTGCCTTCGTGTGTATGCGTGTGTGAGAGTGTTTGTGTGTGAAAAAGTATATCATAGATGTCTGAGTGCATGAGTGTGTAAGCACGTGTTTGTATGTATGTATGATTGCATAAGTGTGTGTGAGAAAGAAAGTTTGTGCATTGGTGTGTGTGTGTGTGTGTGTATGCATTAGAGAGAGTCTGTGCCTCTGTTTGAGTGTGTGTGCATGCATGTGTGTGTGTGTTTGCGAGAGAGTCTGCAGCCGTTTAAGTTTGTGCATGTGCACTTATACGCATATGTGTTTGTGTGAGTTTGTGTTTGCGTGTGTCTGTTGTTTTTGTGTGTCGTTTGAATGCATAAGTGTGGATGTGTGTGTGTGTGTGTGAGTGCATGTGTAAGCGAGTGTGTGATGGGTGTGTGTTTGAGTCTGTGCTAGTGTGCGAGTGAGCATGCTTGCATTTGTGTGCATGCTTAAGTGTGTGTGTGTGTGTGTGTGTGAGAGAGTGTATTTGTATATGAGAGTGTATCAAAGATGTGCGAGTGCATGTGTATGAGTGTGTGCGTTTGTGTATGTATGCATAATTGTGTGTTAAGTCTGTGCATCTGTGTGAGTGTATGTGCACTTATGTGAGTATGCATAAGTGTGTGAGCATGCTTGCCTTCGTGTGTATGCGTCTGTGAGAGAGTGTATGTTTGTGAAAATGTATATCATAGATGTCTGAGTGCATGAGTGTGTAAGCATGTGTTTGTTTGTATGTATGATTGCATAAGTGTGTGTGAGAAAGTTTGTGCATTGGTGTGTGTGTGTGTGTGTGCGCGCTCATACTTAAGTGTGTATGCATTAGAAAGAGTCTGTGCCTCTGTTTGAGTGTGTGTGCATGCATGTGTGTGTGTATTTGCGAGAGAGTTTGCAGCCGTTTAAGTTAGTGCATGTGCACTTATGTGCATATGTGAGTGTGTTTGCGTGTGTCTGTTGTTTTTGTGTGCCGTTTGAATGCATTAGTGCGGATGTGTGTGTGTGTGTGTGTGTGAGTGCATGTGTAAGCGAGTGTGTGATGAGTGTGTGTTTGAGTCTGTGCTAGTGTGCGAGTGAGCATGCTTGCATTTGTGTGCATGCTTAAGTGTGTGTGTGTGTGTGTGTGTGTGTGTGTGTGTGAGAGAGAGTGTATTTGTATATGAGAGTGTATCACAGATGTGCGAGTGCATGTGTATGAGTGTGTGCGTTTGTGTATGTATGCATAATTGTGTGTTAAGTCTGTTCATCTGTGTGAGTGTGTGTGCACTTATGTGAGTATGCATAAGTGTGTGAGCATGCTTGCCTTCGTGTGTATGCGTCTGTGAGAGAGTGTATGTGTGTGAAAAAGTATATCATAGATGTCTGAGTGCATGAGTGTGTAAGCATGTGTTTGTATGTATGTATGATTGCATAAGTGTGTGTGAAAAAGAAAGTTTGTGCATTGGTGTGTGTGTGTGCGCGCTCATACTTAAGCGTGTATGCGTTAGAGAGAGTCTGTGCCTCTGTTTGAGTGTGTGTGCATGCATGTGTGTGTGTGTATTTGCGAGAGAGTTTGCAGCCGTTTATGTTAGTGCATGTGCACTTATGTGCATATGTGTTTGTGTGAGTGTGTTTGCGTGTGTCTGTTGTTTTTGTGTGCCGTTTGAATGCATTAGTGCGGATGTGTGTGTGTGTGTGAGTGCATGTGTAAGCGAGTGTGTGATGAGTGTGTGTTTGAGTCTGTGCTAGTGTGCGAGTGAGCATGCTTGCATTTGTGTGCATGCTTAAGTGTGTGTGTGTGTGTGTGTGTGTATGTGTGTGTGTGTGTGTGAGAGTGTATTTGTATATGAGAAAGTGTATCACAGATGTGCGAGTGCATGTGTATGAATGTGTGCGTTTGTGTATGTATGCATAATTGTGTGTTAAGTCTGTTCATCTGTGTGAGTGTGTGTGCACTTATGTGAGTATGCATAAGTGTGTGAGCATGCTTGCCTTCGTGTGTATGCGTCTGTGAGAGAGTGTATGTTTGTGAAAAATTATATCATAGATGTCTGAGTGCATGAGTGTGTAAGCATGTGTTTGTATGTATGTATGATTGCATAAGTGTGTGTGAAAAAGAAAGTTTGTGCATTGGTGTGTGTGTGTGCGCGCTCATACTTAAGCGTGTATGCGTTAGAGAGAGTCTGTGCCTCTGTTTGAGTGTGTGTGCATGCATGTGTGTGTGTGTTTGCGAGAGAGTCTGCAGCCGTTTAAGTTAGTGCATGTGCACTTATGTGCATATGTGAGTGTGTTTGCGTGTGTCTGTTGTTTTTGTGTGCCGTTTGAATGCATTAGTGCGGATGTGTGTGTGTGTGTGTGTGTGTGTGAGTGCATGTGTAAGCGAGTGTGTGATGAGTGTGTGTTTGAGTCTGTGCTAGTGTGCGAGTGAGCATGCTTGCATTTGTGTGCATGCTTAAGTGTGTGTGTGTGTGTGTGTGAGAGAGTGTATTTGTATATGAGTAAGTGTGTCACAGATGTGCGAGTGCATGTGTATGAGTGTGTGCGTTTTGTGTATGTATGCATAATTGTGTGTTAAGTCTGTGCATCTGTGTGAGTGTGTGTGCACTTATGTGTGTATGCATGAGTGTGTGCGCATGGCAGACACAGTGTGAGACCGCTTGTGCTGGAAGTGTGCAATTGTGCGTGATTTGAAAGTCAACAAGTTTCACCAACACTTCCATGTCTGTGTGTGTGTGTGTGTGTGTGTGTGTGTCTGCTCTGCTGTTTTCTGTTCTCCGTCTCACATTATTATGGCTTACAGCTTCATCCTCGCGCAGCATTCGTCTCTCGGGTGCATTCTGCCGTCCATTTGGTTAAAAGCGTAAGAAAGAGTGAGTGAAGGCGAAGCAGCAGACGGAGGAAACGCATCACTCAGGAAACGGAGGAAACATGGGCATCTCTGAGAAATCCCCATTACTGAAGCTGCCGCTCTGATCCAACATGGAGAGCACATCCTGAGGGAGACAAACACACACAAGCAGCCTATTAGAGGGATTCTGAAGGATCATGTGACTGGAGTAATGATGTCACAGGGGCATGCTGGCAAAGTGGTTAGCACTGTGGCCTCACAGCAAGAAGGTCACTGATTCGAGTCCCTGCTGGGCTAGTTGGCATTTCTGTGTGGAGTTTGCATGTTCTCGCAGTGTTGGTGTGGGTTTCCTTTGGGTGCTCCTGTTTCCCCCACAGTCCAAACACATGCGCTATAGGGGAATTGAATAAGGTAAATTGGCTGTAATGTATGAGTGTGTGTGTGAGAATGTGAGTGTGTATGGGTGTTTCCCAGAACTGGGTTGCGGCTGGAAGGGCATCTACTGCGTAAAACATATGTCTGAGAATGTCGGATTAGTTCATTCCGCTGTGGCGACACCTAATGAATCAGGGACTAAGCTGAAGGAAAATGAATGAATGCAGTGGTTTAAACACAGTTGTGAGGCAGCAGTGTGTGAATATCTCCAGCCTCTAATGGACAAAGTTAATTAATTGTGTTTATTATAATCACACTTGAGATAAACAGTCTGCAGAAACACTTTGATTGACGTTCTCCCTTTGTACGTGTCATCAGAGGGGGAAAGCCCCGCCCACTAGTGGCCATCTCTCCCTCATTAGCATAAACAGCCCTGAATGAAAAGCAGCCGCCCACCATTACTGTGCATTCACACCAAGCGGCAACCTCCCGCTCTCCCTCAGGAAGCCAATACGGAAGTAACTAAAACTGCAATTCATCCGAAATTCCGCTAGTCCTGGCCGCTCCTGGCTCCAAAACAGAGCAAATTTCAATTGAGCCCACTGTTAGAATGGCCAACTTTACAGCAGAAAAAAAGGTGTTTACAGCCTGGTACAAAAAAAGATTTTGGTTAATACAGGTAATATTACCCTTCATGACAACTGTGAGGGGGGTGAATTTTTTTATAACTCATCCGTTTCCTTTATATTAAGTTTGCATAATTAAGGGAGTGGCCACTTGAGTGACAGTTAGGTCTCGCTGGTCGCCGTCACGTCACCTCTGCAGATTAGCCACTGAACTCGGCATATTTATCGTATTTCTGTGTTGTTTTATGTGGCTTTACACAGTCAACTGTCTTTTGGACTTGTTTCCCACAATTATTAGATGGCATGGCATGCTGAGTGAACTTAATTGTGCTCACAAACCATTCACGTGGCCTCCGTTTCCCATGTGAGTAAAGTTATATACTTATATACCATCTCTATACATGTATTTGTTTTATTTAAGATCATTTATTGTTTATATTTATATTTAGAGCTGTAATGCACTCCAGAATCTGACGGATTGATTAGCTGTGGGCTCTAGAACAGTCATCTGAAGCGTTGTCATACAGTGTTATGCTGGATTTCATCAATAGTCTTACATTAACTAACACAGACTATATCTGAAATGTTTGGATGCAATTCGCGTTTTCCTCCTGTTGAAAAACCTCATAAGAACAATGTTTAGTGGCTCAATGTGTTACAGCAGTGTTTTTAAAAGTCTAAACACTTTATTGATATGGTATACAACCAAGCACAAGTGGTCAGAATACAAACGAGTCACAGGTGATAAAGTATTAAGCATTTCTCCCAAAGTAAAGTGTGTCTGAACCAGGTCCAAGCTAAATGCTAGCAGGTGTTTGTAGCTCCGCTCACTCTCCGCCTCTTTGCCCTTGTTTGGTATCCCGCCGTGGGTGTGATGACGCGTGACCAAAATGGCGACGGTTGGCCGCGCCTACTTGTGGCTTCTTTTGCGCTCTTCAGAAACCTATGGGTGACGTCACGGATACTACGTCCATATATTTTACAGTCTATGATTCACACCGAGAGCTTGATGCAGATGATAAGTAAAAACAGAAAGTGTATTTATATATAAAGATAGATAGGTGAGTAGAATGGACAGAGATAGATTTATCTGTGCAAAAACCACCAATCGGCCTGAAAAGAAAAATGCCTGCACGCTGATTCTGTGCTACCTAGGCGCTGCGCAAGCGCTGCTTCAGCTCTGCTTGATGAGAAAGAAGTCTCCTCGCATCCATTGCGGTCTGGATTATATCATGTGCGAGCTGTTTTACTGTTTTAAGAAGTATTTTGTCGTCCATTCTTCCTTAAACACACGACAGTCAGTCAAAAACTATTTTTGACTCATTTTCAGTCATTAACGTTCGAGTGCCTTTTAATATCCAAGAGTGTGCTCTAATTCCACTGGTTGCGCTAACTGTACCAAGTGCAATACTGCCATCACATGGCGTTCACTTGTATTGCATCATTAATTTACTATTTCTGAATCAAACCGTTACTCAGAAGCAGCATTTTAAAAACTCCCTCGCGGGCCGGATGACAGTGTTCAGTGGGCCGCATATGGCCTGAGGGCCGTAGTTTCCCCACCTCTGTCCTAGGGCTTGGTGGCCACCAAAGCGGACAACACATTTTAGCTCTTAAGTGGCTGTTTAAAATACTTTGAATGCTTTATATTTTGTTACAGACATACAGTTTCATCCTGCAACTGTTTTGCAGCATATGACATGTTTTTTAATGTTTTAACACAATTTTTAACTGTCAAAAATGGGCAAAATATTTTGTTTCTGATAGTCAAAACATGTAAAAAAAAATGTATATGTTGTATATGCATTAAACCAGTCAGGAAAAAGGGATTTATGTAAATTCGGACCACTAGTGCACATATATGGACATCATTTTTCTCTATAAGCACATCATATCAAAATATGACACTTAGTTTTATTCTAATTAGGTTCCAATAAGCCCAAATAGGAAAGAGCATTTAAAAATGCATGTAAAAAAGTTAAGTAAAAAAAAACAGATTTTAAACACTCCTCTAAAAACGACAAACTCACAAAAAAACTACTGAAGTACAGTAAGATGAGGAAATGTAGCTCGTTACTTTCCACCGCTGCAGACGATCAGTGTTTTCAATCACAAGTGACTTATTTTAGGTTTCAAATGGCGAAACACATTAATAGTAGCAGAACATCCCTTTACAGTTCATCAAATACACCACGGGTGTCTGTGAAAAGTGCAATAATCATATTAAGCATAATCTGACGACGTGCTTCACACAGTACACACACTGTGTGCATAATCAGACATTTTGTGCTGTCCGTAATTGTACTTTTGCGCATGCGGGGCAGTTTGGGAACAGGATCTGTTCACACTGCAAATCTGATATTGGCCACATTTATAAGAGCAATGTGAACAGCCATGCAGAAACATCAGATCTGAGAAAAAACCTGATTTGAGGACTAACGCCCCATTCACACGGGGCTTCAGCGTCAACGCTTGACTGAAGGCGTGTCTGAAGTTGGGGCTGAAACGATCGTCATAGAAGCGTCAGCCAATGAAATTTTGTCAGCAATAGGCCACTGTCTGAGCTGGTGTATTTGCATACAGCGATCTGATTGGCTGACGCTTCCGTTGGCGCTTGAAAAGTTGAGCTAGTCCCAACTTCTGCAGCGAGGAACGCTTCTGAAGCGGCGCCGACGGATCCACAATGCAGTTCGGCAACGCCTGACGTCACCCATTCAAAGTGAATGGGAATCGTTGACGCTGACGCCCCGTGTGAATAGGGCGTAAAGCTCGCAGTGTGAATGCAGCCATATTGGATAAGTGGAGCAAAGCCACAGCACACGAAACAACTTGATCCTCCATTCTTATATGAATTTGATAAAAGTCACGCAACATTTTTTACGCTAGCAAGCTTGTTTTTATGCAGGAATGTAACTGATTTGCTGCAATGGCCCCTTTAAATATGAGTTCAATGTAGTGAATTTTGACCCCCTCGCCTCACACACACACACTATAGGGACATCAGAAATGTATTTTACATCTTGTACAAAAGGGCAAAATAGGTCCCCTTAAAAAAATAAAGGAAAAATCGTACTGTTCTGAAACTATGTAACACTAAACCCGAACCCAGCTCAATTTGACTTGACGTTTGCTCCACTCACCGGAAATATGTCTGTCTGGTTGTTTTGCACTTGTGTGTCTGCGGAGGCTTGTGTGTGTGTCTGACTGGGCCACTGCTGCCAGCCTGTGACGCCCTCTGCTGGCCTGGAGCCAAACGCTGCTGCCATCTGACCAACATCACCTGAACACAAGAAGCACCACTGCTTATTATATATGCTTAGAACATAACGTAGCATAACATAGCACAAAACATATGAGACAAAACATGTAACACAAACAACACAAAACATAACACAATCTAAAGCTGCACAATATGTACCGTATCCATTAGTGGAGGGGTTGCTGTGACTGTTTATTTGCTGGTAGCTGGATGTGCTTGCCATTGAAGCCGAGGCTCCGCCCATCTGGCCAAAGGAAGAGGAAGTGGAGGGTGCAGAGGCGGAGCTAAAGCCTCCCATGTTAAACGGAGCAGACTGGTTCTTTCCAATTGGACCTGCAACCTGCTGGACAGAGAGGGGATTTACATATGAGCAGGGCCAGACAGAATATGCGGACATTTTTAGCTATATCTATGCAGAATTTTGTAAAAAAGAAAAATCTGCGCATTTATGCAGAATGATTTTAGGAGTATGGTAATTAAAAACTTAATTTATGAAAAAAAATATATATATATATGTTTTACATAAAAATATACACGTGTGATATAATATATACTAAAAGACAGAAAATATTACTTTACTAACTGTATTGTTAATAAATCATGAACATTTTCATATTAGTCAATAATATATTAATGCAATTAATTAAAAAAATTGAATAAATATGAATTTACAATGACTCAATGATCTAATCACAGTAGGGCTATTGGAAAAAAATTTCTGCGATATATATTTCGATATCACCAGCTTTTTTAAAACTTTTGAATAGGTCTATTTGACATTTTTAGGGGAGTCTAACAGTATTCAAAATAATAACAACCCGGCAAAACATGCTTTTAAAGATGGTGCAGAATGTAAGTTTGACACCCAGTGGTTGAACTAGGTGTTGCATGCCTGGTTCAAAACACACGCAAGCGCAGGTTGCCTGATTGACAACACCAACAGGAGTGTGCCTGACTATCGACCCTAAAGGCTGATTTAAGGCTGATTTTAATCGTGTTCTAAATAAAAGCAGCGGCACACGATAGAAGGAATATTTCCCAACCAACATCGGAAATGTATATTTTAGAAACGCCTTCTATTTCTTGCAGCTGAACAACAGAAAACTACACCTCATGCACACCTCACGTGCTTTATTCAGACGAAATGCTAATAATGTGACTTTGAATGCCATTTGACATGACATGTATTGCCATACTACTGAAAGCAGCAGCAGATAGTTCACCTCAGATCATGAAAACTAAATAAACCGTTTAAGACTGAACTTTAGAACTGTGAAATAATGCAAACTAACACAAATCAGTTATTCAGCATGTACATTTAATAATGTTAAAGTAGTTCAATATGTAATAATTAGATTATAAACCTTACCATTTTGCTGAAGTAAAGTGAGTGCACTATTCTGTGCTTCTGAATGGCTGTATTTACTTTTCTGTGGTGTTTCGTCTGGCCAAAATGCTTATCACTAAATATCTAGTCATGTAGCTTGTTGTTAGGACACGGGGTTACAATGTAACCTACTCACCTAATGTTTAAGCTCATAATATTTATATTATTTGCTAATTAATAACCTCACATGTGGAACTCTGAATCTGCGGGGGGGGGGGGGTGGGGGGGGGGATTAAGATTCACTTAATTTTGGCAATTTCTTGCTTGTCTAGAAAATGCTTTCTGTTGCATTTAGTGCAGACAGACAAATTGCATGTTGCTAGAATTGTGCGTGTTGTTAGGACATGGTGTAATCAATCCTGCTTACCCTCGTGAAGCTAATACAGATGTAAATGAAACTGCAATTCATCGAAATTCCAAAAAAAGCAGTTTACAGTCTGCTCCAAAAAAACGATTTTGGTAGATATAGGTAATATTACCCTTTATGACAACTGTGGAGGGGAGGAGGGGGGGTTTATAACTCATCTTTTTCTTTTATATTAAGTCTGCATAATTAAGGGCGTGGCTACCTGAGTGACAGCTAGGTCTGGCTGGTTGCCGTCACCTGAGCTGATTCCGGCTGATTAGCTGCTGAACTCGGCATATAACTCGTGTTTTTGTTTTGTTTTATGTGGATTTACAAGGTCAGTTTTGGAATTATTTCCTACAATTATCAAATGATATGGCATGCTGTGTGCACTTTGTCCTCACAAACCATTCAAGTCCCGTAATTTCCCAGCTGAGTGCAATTCTTATATACTTTCATCTATAAATGTATTTGTTTTCTTTAAGATAATTTATGACAATAAATAATTTTCTTTAGACCTGTAATATACTCCAGAATCTGACAGATTGATTAGCTGTAGGCTATAAAACAGCCATCTGAAGCGTTGTTGTTGTGTTATGCCTGTATTACATCAATAGTCTTTACTAACACAGACTACATTTGAAGTGTTTGGAAGTAATTTGCATTTATCTCCTGTAGAAAAACATCACAAGGACAATGCTAAGTGGCTCAATCTATTACAGTAGTGTTTTTAAAAGACAAAACACTTTATTGGTATAGTATACGACCAAGCACACGTGGTCAGAACACAAGTGAGTCGCAGATAATGAAGCATTAAGCGTTTCTCCTAAAGAAAAGCTCATCTAAGCAAATGCTAGCAGCCATCTGTAGCTCCGTCTCTTCACCCTTTTTTGGTTACCCCAGGTCGATGATGCACGAACAAAATGGCGACGGTTGTCCACGTCTACTTGTAGCTTCATTTGCGCTTATCAGCCTATGGGTGTTGTCACGGATACTACATCCATTTTTTTACAGTCTATAGGTTTAATGCGCTTCACATGTGTACCTGTGTGCTGAAGGGTTGCCGTGTGGTACTCCAGAGTCCAGGGGGTGCTGTGGGTCCCGATGGGGCCTGAATGGGGCTGTTGTTGGAGCCGGAGACCCCAGACGGAGTGCTCTGCCGGGACATCTGAGCCAACATCTGACCCGCTGAATGAGCCACGGACACCATCTGCTGCGGCAGAACAGGGGACCTAACACAGACCACACACACACATACACACCCATGAGGAAACGCACACATTTGCATACACACACACACAATACTAGTGGTGTAACAGATCACAAATCTCACTGTTCGGATCACATTATGGATTTTGTAACGGATTGGACCATTTTTCGAATCAGCCGAACAGAAGAGGAGACAAATGTAATTTGCTTTCCGTTTATTACAGAAACAGCACTGCAAGACACTTTTGGATTTAACAAACAGAACGGAGATGTAATTTTATTCAAAATAAAATGGAGAAATAATCAGCTGAATAAAAATAAACTGCTAAATATTCAGAACTGTGAAGTGGTTTTATCTAAACTAAACACTGTTATCCAAGTACTTCTGTATCATTTGACTGTAACTTTACAACTAACTCAAAAGACTAAAGAATCTAGAGTTTAAAGACTCGAGTGTGTTTCTACAAGTAAAAAAATGTATTAATTCGCAGGTCATGTGTGTTCCGAACCGTGGGTTGTGATTCGTACGAATCACGGATCAACGGTAATTCCGTTACACTAAACCAATCAGAACCCTTATCTCTCATTCAATTTAAGAGTCAGTTGCATCGCACCATGGTCAGGGCCGGAGCAAGCTGAACTGCTGCTGTTGGCATACTGTAGCCTAAAGTGAAAGCTAAGTGAGGGGGGGGGGGGGGTCACGGACGCCGCCCTCTCTATTCTGCCGCCCTAGACACGGATATAACTGAGGGCGCGGGTGGAGAGGGTAGTGTCGCGGACGCCGCCCTCTCTATTCTGCCATCCTAGACGTGGATATAACTGAGAGCGCAGGTGGTGAGGGTAGAGTCGCGGACGTCTCCCTCTCTATTCTGCCGCCCTAGACGCGGATATAACTGAGGGCGTGGGTGGTGAGGGTAGTGTCGCGGATGCCACCCTCTCTATTCTGCCGGCAGAGGCGGCCGCCTAGGTCCTGGCCATGGTGCATTTGCGATTTACATGGCAGACTTGGGAGGAAACACTGAATGTTTCACCAGCGAGAAAAAATTTAAACAGAGCATCTGCAGTGTGAGAATAAAGAACAAGTCTCCTCCATTTAGCCTCTTTACCCTTTCTTTACTTTACTTTCATTCTTTACTCCTTTACTTTGGTGGAGTAAGGAAACGGTAGAAACTCACTGAAGATATCCTTTAGCCCACATATTTGATTTTTTCTTTGTTAAGCACAAAGATTTGTTTCAAAATTATATCTGAATTCAGTTCTAATTTCCAGCAAAGGAATAAATGAACAATAATAACAAAGTGTGCTCAAAAACTGAGTAATATCCTAACACACATCCTGTTCTTATGCCCCATATGGTGATGCAGACGTCTCCAAAACCACACAGGTGGACACATCTAAACTTGTTTTCATTAAAACAAATATAAATCTGCATTTAATAAATAATACTACTAATAATAATAACATTATACTAATGCAGATTGTCATGAATAAACTGAAAACGCCCCCAGAGATAAGACATGGAGGCAGTGTTTTTTATATTCATGTAAAAAAAATAGTAATTTTTCTAACATTTTAATCTTTTAACTGTTTTCATCTGTAAAGGTGTTTGTGTATTGCTGTACATCCTGTGTGTATTAAGCAACATGTAAGTGTTTGGACCCGCATAGGTGCATAAAGAACTCTCTCTGCACTGGATTTTAGAGCAGCTTTTAGTCAGTCAATAGTGTGGTCTATTCAGTTCTACAACATAGCAATGCGCCTTAACACACCTCCTTTATAGACCAGCACACCCATGAGTCCACAAAGTGGAGCAAATAGATTTGCTATTTGAACAATGTAGCACAAAACATGTAAATTACTGTTGCGCTGGTCTGAAAATAGCAACAAATCACACCAAACACGTCTTGCAACTTGCACTGGATGTATGTGTGTGAGTTTGTGTGTGTTTGCAGGTTTGAGTGAATGAGTGAGTGAGTGAGAGAGAGTGAGCAAGTGACAGAGTGAGTGTATGAGTGAGTGAGTGAGAACGAGCACGTGTAAGAGTTTGTACATGTGTGTGTGTGAGAGACAGGTGTGTGTCCAGTGCATGTCGGTGTGAAAGTCTGTGCCTGTAAATCTGTGTGTATGTGTTTGTGAGTGTTTGCATAGCAGTGTGCATCAATGTGTGTTTGTACGTGTGAGCCTGTGTAAAAGTGTGTCTGAGTTTGTGCGGTGCATCTCAGTGTGTCCGTTTGAGAGTCTGTGTGTGTGAGAGAGAGCGAGAGAGAATGTGTGTGTGTGTGTGTGTGTGTGTGTGTGTGTGTGTGTGTGTGTGTACCTGAAAGTTTCAGTGGGTCGTGCAGGGCTGGGGAAAGCTGCTGCTGGTGGGTAAACCTGCTGCCCACTGGATACACTGGAGGAAACAGCCTTAGAGCCTGACACACACAGACACACAACCACATCATCATCATCATCACAAATGGTTTTAATAGTAGATCTGTGAAATTTTTTTTTTTTGTTGAACATATCCCTCAGCTCTTCTTAATGAGGGTTGTCTTCAGTGAGTGTATGCATATGTGTGAGAGAGGAGTCTTACTGTGATCAGCACTGACTACACCACAGGTCTGCACTGAAACCTGAAAGACACACAAATGGACAAAGACACTCATGATGTGGTAAACTATTTGAACAGAGCTTATTCACATATAATCAGAACAAACTTTTTTAAAAACTCAATTTGCTTGTCGAAATTTTGACTTATTATTTCTTTCTTATTATTTTTTTGCTCATCTACATCAGGGCTTCTCAAAGTCCGACCTCTGGTCCAGATCCGGACTGCGAGGGTATTCAATCCGGATCTGACTCCATTTCGTATTGCAAGACCATTTGTAAAGAGTTCAAATAAAGGATTTCCTTCATTGATAAATGCGTAAACCTTGTAAATCAACTGTTTAGTTGTTTGTATTTTTGTCAAAAAGAATACAGGCCGAAATAAAACCGAAGACAAAATATTCAGAGTTTTCTTTCGCGACTCTGTTGTCATGACATCCAATGATCATACAAGGCTACATGTGATCAAGCAGGCTAACTTAAATTAACGCACTGCAGCGAAGTGATCATTTGACTGGATGTTGGTCTCACTGAAAAAGAAAGCTTGATGAAAAGAATAGAAAGTTCAGTGTTGAATGGACTGATAAGTATGAGTTTATTTTGCCACAAGCCAGCACAAAGGCATTCAGATTGATTTGTAATGAGAAAATTGAGGTTGAAGTTGTAAAGATGAGAAACCTATGGAGTCAATTCTAGGGCCATATATACTTGCAAAATAAAAGAAAGTTTTGCAAACAAGAAAAAAAAAATATTGAAAAAATAAATAAATGCAAATCTAAAAAAAAAAGGAAAACTGAAAATAAATTTTTGAGATTTTTTAATTATTTTTTACACTGCTTGATTTTTATTTGCGGTTCCTTTTTTTCGCTTGGAAATTTCATTTTTATTTCTCAAAACTTTATTTTTTCCTTCGCTCAATATTTTATCTTTTGTTTGCGAAACTCCCGTTTATTCTGCAAGTATATATGGCCCTTGATTGACTCCATATAAAACGAAACACATTTTGAACAGCAGTATCCACAAAATAAAAGCCCTACATTTTGTTGTGTTTTGTACAAAATTACACTTTTATTATTGTAATAATTACACTTTTATTAGTGGTTTTGCCACATTTGCATTGTATTTAATGTGTTCAAAAAGCAAATGCCACTTTATTCAAAGAAAAATAAACAGTGTTGACTTGTGATGCATGTTATGGATGTTTATTAAAAACAAGTTATGTAATATCAACTGTTCCAGACTTTAATAAAAATTTTGATTTGGAGCTTTTAATGTAGACATTGAGAACCACTGGTCTACAAAATGCTTCCCGATTTAGATTCTGGACTAAAAACAGGGCAAAAACTCTATGTAAGAAAAGCATTTGCATATACACCAAGTGTTTGAAGCAGGGCAGTTTGATTAATTAAAATCATACTGAAATCACGGTTTGGACATGCGTGATTTCTAAATCACAATTTTCCCTCAACATACCATTTGAATCAATCATAACGCAGCGCTGCTAAACAGAGTACGAGAACAGGAGACTGAACAGCCTGCAAATACAGGAATGATGAGTTCAGGACAGGAGGTCTTGGTGCCAAAAAATACAAGTTTTATTTATGGAGACAATAAAAAGCACTTGGTGATCGGGTGTCTTGTGTTTGTACCGAAATGTCTATATCCCATACAAAGTATAAAGCTGATTGGTCAGTTCTTGTTTTGTGTGTGGCATTCTGAAAAGTTCAATTTAATGTTTGTCTAAAAAGCGATGCTTTCAGCTGGGTGTGTCTGGAATACGCAATCGTGCCGCTCTCAGTATGTGCACGCAATCCACTCGCCTCCATTGGAAACAATGGACTTGTGCACGCAAAAGATACGATATGTGATTGGCCTATTTCACAAAGAGGTCTATGATCTATGACATAACAAATCCGTGAACACACACGCAACTACTTCTGCTATTCGGTCAAGCAGAACATCGGAGCCTTAGGGTGCTTTCACATCTGTAGTTCGCTTCATTTGGTCCACACCAAGGGTAATAAATGATACATTGTTGCATTTCCTGCCGTCTTTGGGTCGTTTTCACACCACACTGCTGGCTTTGGTCCGAACCAGTTGAAACGAACCAAAATGCAGTCATCTGACAAAATCCACATCTCTCATTGGCCAGATGTTGTTGAACATATTTCCTAAACTGCTTATTGATTGGTCAGAATTCACGTGTGGGAAAATGAAAATGAACTACCGCAAGTAAACAAAACCGGCAGACACAAAATGTCGCTTTTTACTATGAAGGGACGACTGCGCTGACTGATTATATCCCTGCTTTAGACAAACAATACACTTCGAGAATGAAGCGCGGCTGGAAAACAGGGTTCTAATGCATCGCTCGTCACTTCAGGAGGAGCCGTGAATTAATTTAGCTAAACTGCGACATGGTCACCTTGCAAAAATATTACCACCGATCCATTAGGTAATAATAATAATAATAATAATAATAATAATAATTCCTTACATTTATATAGCGCTTTTCTGGGCACTCAAAGCTCTTTACACAATGGGGGGGAATCTTCTCTTTCACCACCAGTGTGCGGCATCCACCTGGATGATGCGACGGCAGCCATTTTGCGCCAGACCGCACACCACACACCAGCTGATTGGTGGAGAGGAGACAGTGATGAAGCCAATTGAATATGGGGATGGTTAGGAGGCCATGATGGACAGAGGCCAGTGGGCAGATTTGGCCAGGATGCCGGGGTTAAACCCCTACTCTTTTCGAAGGACAACCTGGGATTTTTAACGACCACAGAGAGTCAGGACCTCGGTTTAACATCTCATCCGAAAGACGGCACTCACTGAGCAGTATAGCGTCCCCGTCACTATACTGGGGCATTCAGGACCCACACAGACCGCAGGTTAGGCGCCCCCTGCTGGCCTCACTAACACCACTTCCGGCAGCAGCCTACCTTTCCCATGTGGTCTCCCATCCAGGTACTGACTGGGCGCAGCCCTGCTTAGCTTCAGTGGGCGACCATGTGAGAGTTGCAGAGAGCTAGCTGCCGGCAATGTTTAGGTAATGTTTTCCCTCTCTCTCTCTCTGTTGGTAAAGCGCTGTCAACAATTAGTTTTCCTCCATATCCCATAATGCACAGCGCATCGGCCTACAGCAGCTGGATTAGTCCAAAAGGCACAGTACTTTTTGCGGTTGGACCTGTTTTAGTATGGATCATGTTCTCACCACAAACGAACCGCTCCAGGGTTCGTTTGAAAGCGTACAAAGACCACCCCTTCAAGCAGGTCTCGGTACGCTTATTTGGTCCGCTTTTGGTGCGCACTCGAGTACGATTGCTACATTCACACCTGCCCAAATGAACCGCACCAAAAGGGAAAACGAACTCTAGTGCGATTCAATTGAACTAAATAAGGCAGGTGTAAAAGCACCCTTACTTGAGTTTGACGGCATGCGCTCACACACACACATACATTTGTTTTGCCATAGGTCTGTTCTGGAGACAATTTGTTGAAGTTTTACTGGGTGACTTCTATTTTATGTCTGTTTTAGAGACATGTTGCAGGTCTTTGATAAAGATCTAATAGTTTGTCGTTTGAAATATGTTTCAGATTCACACTGTACACACAGATTCAGTCTGTCTGTGACAAAATCCTGATTAAACTCGAAACCGCAATATTGTTCAAGAAAATCATGACAGGTTTCTTTCGCCCATATTGCACAGCCCAAGTATGCAGTGAGCATGTGAAATGTCAGGTGTGTTCACCTGAGGAAGAGTGACCTGGCTGTTTTCATAGGGTGCTTCCTGGCTCATTCCTCCTCCATCCAACTCCACCTGCTGCTGCTGCAACTGCCTGAAGAGCAGAAAACAACAGAGGAATCTCAACGTTAGCCAATGAAAAAGCTCCTAGACCCACCACCGACACCATCACACCACACCCTCAGCTGACCCCAGAGCAGAGCATGCTGGGTAATCCACCACCGACAGCAGACAGATGGAGCGGATGAAGGTGTCCGCTGCTCTCACCTGACCGTGACGCAGCCTGGGCTGGGGGTGGAGGGGCAGTTTGGGCTCTGGCCCAGTGAAGGGGATGACAGAGGGGACACGGAGCCCTCGCTCGACCCTCTACTGCCATGCAGACCGCAGGAGAGAGAGCAGGTTAAACTGAGCTCAATTAAGACGCTCAGTCACTCTCACACACACACACACACACACACACACACACACACACACACACACACCTGTACACTCAGACACACACATACATAGCACACAAGCATAAACTGAGCTGAATTAACTCGCTCATTCACACACACACACATGCACACACACAAACTCATTCATGCAGAGACTCTCTCTCTCACACACACACACACACACACACACACACATACGCACACACACACACGCACGCACACGCGCACACGCGCACACGCGCGTACACACAAACAATAAGATGCACATAAGTGTGGGCGTGCAAACACACACACGCACACACACACACACACAAAATAACTCATGCTCACACACAGACACTTTTACACAGAGACTCTCACACAAACATATGCGCGCACACACAAACTCTGAGACGCACAAGAGTATGCGCGCACACAAACACAGACAGACACATTCATAAACACAAATTTATTTATACACACTCACACGCACAGAAAGACACACAAACACAGAGATATACACACACACACACACACACACACACACACACACTTACACTTTAAAACACACTCTCTTTACTAACACATATATATGCACACACACACACACTCACACACTCACACACACACACACACACACACACACACACACACACACTGACACAATTATAATGGTTCATGACAATCATGTTTATGATTATTTAAGATTTATGACAAGTCTTGATGTCTTGGTAATTTCAAGTTGTCCTGATGAAGAAGACCGGTAGTGATGTATTTGTCATGTTGTCATAACAAACGATATCATCTTTGCATTTAAAAAGACAAAAATTGAGCAAAAGATCCTTAATTACAGCTGTCATATGCATGCATAACACCTCATTCATGATTATAAAGATGTCTTATAAACACCCCATTTAAATAAAGTGTTACCGTTCTAATTGTTCACATGAATGTAATGCGTTTGTGTGTGTGGTGTTAAACAACAGTGCGTGTGTGTGTGTGTGTGTGATTGGACTCACTTGACGTTGGTGTTGGTGCAGATGATGTACTCGATCTCCTCAGAGAAAGGGTTCTGGAAGGTGAAGGAGCTCGTCCTCATCCAGACCCACTCGCGGCTTTTAGACTGGAAGCGAAACATCACCGACATCACCTGACCTCGCAGCTTCACCACCTGCACATGGGGTCAGAGGTCACAGAGCAATAAACACCAGCCTATTGATTGTATTCTTTATGTACGAGCGGGCGCAGCCTTTGGAATCTTTTTGGCTCAGGACTTATTTCCCATTTCCCCTGAGTGGTACGGTATGGGTCAGTACACGTTTATGGCCGTTTCCACTGTCAAAAGATACCAAAAAAGCGAACCATACCGCACCACTTTTTGAGTGCGCTTTGCAAAGGGTCCCAGCACAAGAAAAGGCTATCAAAAGCCATTTTTAAACACACAGACGAGACATTACACCGTAATAATATATACATATAATAACAAGCCATGGTCAAACCGAGCTTAAATAAACCTTGTTGTTGTCTTGATGAACAGCAACAAATCCAAGAAAAGCAAAATCTACCCTTTGCCTCCTTGTTTACAAGGCCGTCTAAAGCGCAAGTGGTTTCACTTTCTCCAGAGAGCTTGCATGCGCTCACCGTGCATCTATATTTGAAATAACAAACTTCTTGAGCTGATGATAATAACGTGCGCATGGTTATTGAAGTGCTTCTGACATCTGATCCTTTCAGAAACAGACAAACGCGAGAGAGAAAAAAAAGGAGAAGCCAAAAAACAGGAGCAAATGATTCTTTCTGCAGCTTAAAAGATGAGCAAACTGCCTTGTTAAACTATTGTCATCACCTTTTGGACTATTATGAACCCGCAATTATGGAGTTACTTTCTAACAAGGGGCTACATGTGCTGCTGAAGATGACACACACAGATTAGACTGTGGCCTATATGTTGTGTGTTGTTTTTGAACCCAAATAAGGACTAAATGTCTGTTGTGTGTAGTTTTTCTGTGATTGGTAACACATCAGAGACTGTAAGGGGCTGTATGTGTTCATATATGTTGCATTGATTTATTTCATATAATTGCAGACGTTACAGGCTATTTCGCAGATCATTGATCTGCAGTTATAATCAACTCATGTTCATAGAAAGGTTATGAACATTTATACACAAGCATATATGTGTATAAAGCATCTGTTTTGTGAGAAGTGCTTCTCGTATGATACGTGAACGCCCTGTACAGCTTTACTGTGACATTTCCTCGAGTGAGAATGACGTCGACTGAAACTCTTTATGCGTTTTTTATTTTATTTTAAATACTCATATGCTTTACATGTTTGTTTCTATGTCTGTTTATATAATTAATATTTTCATTTACAGCACTTCATTTTTACATCTTGTGTTTAAAAACACTATGAACAGCAGCTACGCTAATTATTTTCTTTATTCTCTATTTCCACCTGGGGATACACATCCCGAGGCCTCTATAGATTATGCAGCGCCATTGATGCGATCTAAGACCTGTGAAGAATTGATGCCAAGGCATCCATAATCCTGGACCAGGCCGTATCCTGAGCAGATGCTGTGGCAGTCATAGAGGAGTGGACAGCATGAGACTGGCTCCTGAAAGACCCCTGTGCCAGACGAGTCTCTATTGATTCTGTAGGCCAGCTAAACACCCACCGGTGACCTACTCACACCTGCAGTTCTCCATGATGGACGTCCAGCGTTCTCCAGCCTCCAGCGCCTAGAGTGTAGCTCTGCGCATGAAGTTTGGCCAGAGAAGGTCATGCCCAACTGAGCCTGGTTTCTCTTAAGGTTTTTTTTTTCACTTTGGTCAATTGGTGAAGCTTGTTCCTCGCCACTGGCTTGCTTGGTCTGGGTCTTGTTGAGTTAACACCGATGGATTTGCTCCTCAGTGTTTAGACTTTCAGCAGTGAAAATAAACCACACTGAACTGATCTTCAACTCTGAACACTGGACTGACGCAGTTTCAATTGAACTTCTATGTTAGGCTGCTTTGACACAATCTACATTGTAAAAGCGCTAGAAAAATAAAGATGAATTGAATTGTTGTTCTGCTGCAACGTCATGGAAAAGCATTTCTAAATAAGAAATTTCCTACATCGCTGGCACAGATGGCCAGGATAAAAACTCATTTTTAATATTTCATCTATATTTCTATAGCGCCTTTGCAATGAAGAGTGTCAAAGGAGCTTAATATAGCAGTTCTAATAAACTGAAACTGTATCAGTGCAGTGTTCAGAGTTCAGTTCAGAGTAGTTTAATATGAGAAAGATGGCTTTTATCACGCTTTGGCACATACAGTACTAGGACACGGTGTAAGACTACACTGTGAAAAGACTAGTTCACGTGTAAACATAACAAAATAAATAGCTAAGAAATGGCTAGATGGAGATAGTGATTGTATTCGGATAGACAGACCTGCTGAAGGCTGTCTCGCAGTAAACCCTGGTCTTCTGGGTGTGCGAAATCCAGAATATTCTTCCCCAGCAACTCCTGCATCACACAAGAAGAACAGTCACATGCGTTTAATAATTTAAACTCAATGATTAACTACACATAAACACTTAAAATTCAAACAAACTTATTACAGGTTTTGTGCATGTATAAGAAAAACACAGACATGTACAAAATACATCAAGTTAAAAATAATAACTTTTTTGTTTTTATTTAAGGCTTACGATGCAAATTCAATTCCTCCTAGGGATGTAACGATTCACGATACTAATCTCACGATTCACAATTTAGTCACGATTTTAAAAAAAATTCTTTTAAACAAATTTAAGGTGAAGAGCCCTTTCATTTCTTTCTTAAATGCTGCACATTTTTGCAAAATTTTCAATTTTCTGCCATACCTAAATTGCTATTTTAAAAACTAATAAATATAAATAAATGAATAAATAATAAATAAATAAATAATACAAACTAAAGACTCATTAATATTATCAAAGTAAAACGGTGACTGTGCAGGGATTTAAATCGGGGAAAATCAAATAAAAATTTCTTTTCCCTTGGTTTTAAGTGTGGGCCTGAAAAATCTTTATTCGAAGGGGTATTCACTCCCTCCCCTTAGCCCTACGCCTTCAAGCTAAAGAGAATTGGAACACCCCTACCCCTTGGTGAGGGAAAGGGAAAGGGCTAAGGGGTAGAATTGGGATTGGGCCTAAGCCTGAATGCTTTTTTCGTGACCCACCTGAGTCTGGAAGCCCACCGTGGCCGTACAGCGGTGATCCACAAACGTGTAGACACCCTGAGAATTGTGGCGGGAGATGAACTCCACTGGAACGCTGATGTTGTTTATGCTTGTGTCGCTCGGGCAACAGGTGACCTGCAGGTCAAACAAAGGTCACAAGGTCAGAGAGAACGATGAAGGGTCAGTTCACCCACAAATATTGAACCACCACTAATATTGAACTCTGCCCCTCACTGACTCCTCTGCCCACCCCTTACAACTTACACTGCCCATAACCATTGCACTATTTCATACTGCACACTTGACATTGCATTTAATCATTGCACTACACTGTACATACCCATTTGTAAATGCACATATCCACTGAACATATACATTTGTATGATATACATATCAATTTGTAATTCCTGTTACAGCAAAACCTATACAGTGAAAACAAATATTCAAAGATGATTCCTTGGATTTACCAAATTGTTTTAATTTAAGTGGTTGTAAACTATTTATTTGGTCTGAATCTAAACAAAGAAATTAAGTTGAACAGTACCAAATTTAATTTGTTTGTTTAATTTCAACCCGTATAAATTGTTTGCAACAATTTTGCAGGAATAATTTTTTTTTGTGCATCTTATGCTGATATGTATTTGCATATCCCTGATTATTAATAGCAGCCCTTACAATATGTTCATCTATTTGTAAATATCTGATTCTAGTTAATATGACTTGTATATTATGTTCACAGTACATCCATCTGTAAACATTTCCAATAGTTTTCTATAATTGCACTTTTTACTTATACCTGTAGCTATATCCTGCACTTGCTGCTATATGTGGAAGTATGCTAAAGGACTTTTGATTTGTCAGTAACCTAGGTTAAACGCTTCCGGTGAACTGTATGCCATTACAAAATCAGTGCGTTTAAGGTCTGTTTTCTTTAAAAAACAGAGAACTACTCTGGCTTAGTGATATCCAATATAAAGTGGGTCTCAGATTGTACAAGAAGCACTGCATTAAATTACATTTTCCCCCGCCATGTCTTCAAATTATAGACATTTATTTTACCCTAGTATATTCAATGGAGCATCTGTGCTAGCCTGTCGATTCTGCAAGTAAATGGCTTTTTGTCTCGTTTAACGCTTGAGCAACTAAATGAATGCCAAAATCTATTTAACTGCTTGTATTTTAATTACATTACAACATCGACGCTGTAAAAGGAACCGCATAAAATGGTTAAAAGTCACATTAACCGTTCACCAGAACTTTCAGTATGGGAAGAAACACTAGCTCCGCATATACCATAATGCACTCCTGGCTAGACTTAAACTGCATTTCCTGCCTTTAACATGTGTAATGAGAATCTGATCTAAAATAAATTCTTCAAAATTAAGATAATTTTCAATGAAACTGGAGCGATTTTCTCCATCCATTAAAAAAAATTCATAAAGACTTTGTAAAATGTAAGATTTTTTTATTTTTAAGATCACTTTCAATGTACCTGTTCTCCAATGCCTCATAATGCTTTGCATAAATTAACATAAAATAACTTCAGTTAAACTGTAAACAATCAGTGAAGCGTTTTAAAGGTCACATGAACTGCTTTGAAATATGCATTTATATTTGATGTTTGACGTAATCTCAACCAAAACACAAAGAGAGGGTGGGAACGTGTACCCCCTGCCCTTTCTTAAAAACAGCCAATAGCATTTTGTTTTTATCCCATCTCAGCCAATAAGGTTGGTTGAGCTCAAGCGCATGAAATGAAAAGCAAATGAGAAGCTTATGGAAGGGGGCGGGGCATGTCAGGTATTTGATTGGTGCATATGATTGGTGTGATTTGATAAGAAACTGTAGTTTTTTTAAAAAGATTTATTTTTGGCCTTTTTGCCTTTTTTTTAGATAGGACAGTAATCAGACAGAAAATGAAGTAGGAGAGAGTAAGAAGGGGCAAGGTCGGGAAATGTCCTCGAGCCGGGATTCAAACTCGGGATGCCCTAGGTGGAAGTGACAAACTACAAGCTTTACATGTTTAGATCAGTTTTATATCTTCCAAGCGCAAGTTTTGACACTGTTCTGGAGCACACTAGCCTGTGGATATCTTAAAATCTAACAATACTTGTACTAACATCTAAAAACTTTATTTTAATTTCATGGGACCTTTAAAAAACTGAATACAGTGAGTTTTAAACTGAGGAGAATATCAACTCATTGTTGATTGTGTGTGTAGGGGTCGGACAACCACATACATGCCCAACACTGGTTATAAATAACATATTATTAAAAAGTTTAAACAAAGTTGACAATTAATTTTTCACAACAAAGCCATAAGAGAAAGATAATGAAGCAAAACCATGACTCAGTGCAGATTTGTTTTAAATATGAATACATGAACAAAAAAGCAGTACCTGTAGCCTTCCGATGGCAACTAGACAGAAACGATTTCCCTGATTATTATCAGCCTCCTCCTCAGACAGGTTCATTCCTGAGAGGATAAAGCCAGATATTATACCCAGCTCCACTCTGTGTAAACAATAGCCACTTCCGGTGTATTGTGTGCGTGTATGCTGTACCTGCAGGAGGCCAAGATCTGATGTAGCCTGTGCAGTGGACAACCACATACTGCTGCTCGCCGTCTTTAGCAGAACCCAATCCGTTCCTGCAGAACAACAGGAGATGAGAGAAGGGTTAGTTCACGCACAAATTACAATTATTCCATGATTTACTCAGCTTTAGGACATCTTAGGTATAGCTGACTTTCTTCTTTCAGTCAAAGCTACTTAAATATATTTGAAGAGTTCACACTTAGCTGATGATTGATTATAAAGCTTGTTTGGCATGCTGTCCCAGAAGAGAGCCCTGAGCTCATAAGATCCTCGAGCCCAAGGCTCCTTCCCGTTTGTAAGGCGAGAGGGGAGTTTGAGCTCAGTTAGATCTCAGAAGTCCCCTGCTGTAGTAACTAATAAACATTTCGTGATTGCTCTTTAGAGATAACTACTTACTAGGAGCATGTCTATGGTGCCGATTTGGATTAGTCAATTAATTTAAGTTGCATGTTTTGGACGGTGAGAGGAAACCAGGGAACCCGGGGGGAACCACATGAGCATGGGGAGGACGTGTAAACTCTGCACAGAAACGTCAGCTGGCTTGGTAAAGACTAGAACCAGTGACGTTCTTGCTGTGAGGCAACAGTGCTAACCACTAGGCCACCTTGCCACCCATCTAGGAAAGGAGGAGGAGTAAGGGTGGAAGGGGGGATTCTTTAAATTGAAGATGGCTGTTATATGGGACTGAGGATATTTATAGTACCTTAGGAATCGTCCGATATGATGAATCATAAATTGAATAATGCAGGACAGCTGCAAGCAATCATAAGCAGCGATCCTCTTGACATTAGTTTATAAATAAACTTCACATCATTTTAGCCTCATTTAGCTCCACAATTACTTTTTTTCTCCAAACAGTTCAATACAAGTCCACGAAAGTGTACCCATTCATAATAAAGAAACGTTTCAAATGTGAATAAAGGTCTTCTGTGGTGTTCTTGTTAGTTTTTTGTAAGACATTCGACCACATAAACCTTTATAAACAGTTCTGTGCAATTTGTTAAAAGCACTGATTTGCTAAAGGAGACTTTTATTGATCATTGGAGCTGTGTGAGGCACTTTTTGTTATGAATGGATGAGCTTAATTATTTTGGACGGCTGATAAAAGCTTATACCAATGTAGAGCTGGAAACTTCTTTTTAAATAACTCTGACTGAAAGAAGAAAGTGATATTCACCTAGGATGCCTTGAGATGGGTAAATGATGGGTTATCTTTCACTTTTAGGTGAACTAACGCTTTATATCTATTTATGAACTGAGATTGTCTCACATACAGACAAAGAGAGACGCTTTACCTGTTTCTGGTCCTCAGGAAGTTCAGTCTGTTAAGAGACACGGGCTCTACTGGACACACTCCACACCTACAACACACACACATCATTTCACTTGAATAAGTAGATATTGTGAATAAATCTGTAAAATTATAAAAGCCCTGCAAGAGGGCAAATAATTTTGTCTTGAACTGTATATAAGAATTCAACACTTTTTTACATGACCTTTAAAATAAAGGGTTATTAAGGCCCGACATGTATAACATTATAAAAATGTTTTATCGGTTTAAAGACCCTAGTATACTGAAAATAAGTTATTTTTCGTAATTCGTTTGAGTTCAAAAAGAAGTTTGAAAAGTGCCAACATACTGTTTTCAAAAACTCTCAACACCCCCTCGCTGCAGTAGGCAGGGTTGTAAACGTTTCTGCTTATGTGTATCCCTAAACACAAACGGCCAATTCACATGCTTGACGGAGGGCATGTCTGAAGCTTGGTTCTGACACAATCATCATAGCAGCATCAGCCAATAAAATTAGGGCTCTATTTTGACGGTCCATGAGCAGAGCGCAAAACGCAGGGCGCAAATGCTTTCAGGGTGTGTCAGGTCGCGTTTTTGCTAATTTACGGATGGGAAAATCTGCTTTGCGTCGTGGTGCATGGGCTAAAAGGCTTGAGTTTATTTTCTTAATGAGTTATAGGTGTGTTTTGAGAATAAACCAATTAGAGTCTCATCTCCCATTCCCTTTAAGAGCCAGCTGCGTCGCGCCAAGAGCACATTCGCTATTTACAGGACGCAAAGTAAGTCTAAGTGGAAAAAATGAGCATTTCACAAGCAAACAGTTGACAGTTTTTTAACAGAAAACAGTTAAACAGAGCATCTACTGCGTGAGAATGAGAGATAATGGATCACTTTCACATTCGCTCTTGGATAGGGAAACCTTTACACACAGACATCAATTAATAAATAAATAATTTTGTTTGTTAGGTGCAAATATTCGTTTCAAAACTATTTCTAAATTCAGTTCTAATTTCCAGCAAACGAATAAATGAACAACAATAACAAAATGTGCTCAAAAACCTGAGTTATATCCTAAAACACATGCTGTGCCCCATATGGTCTAAAACCTGACAGGTGGGCAAATCTAAGCTTGTTTTTAATAAAACAAATATAAATATGGATATAATAAATAATACTGCTAATAATAATAACATTATACAAAAGCAAATTGTTATGAATGAACTGAAAAAGCCTCCCGAGATGAAGAAGACATAAAAGCAGTGATTTTTCATATTTATGTAGGCTAGAAAATAATATGTTTTGTAATATTTTAATCCTTTATATTTATATCCTATATATATTCTTATTATATCCTATATATATCCTTAATATTTACATTTTTTCATATGTAAAGATATTTGCCTATTGCTCTCTTGTGTGTATTAAGCAGTGTGTAAGCGAGGCGCAACTCTGCGCTGGAGTTTAGACCGGGTTTGTTTTGGTCTAATGAAAAATCTATTATAGTTTCTCAAAATAGCAACGCGCCAGCGGTCCGCCTCAGAACGCCTCCCTTTTTAGACCAGAACGCCTATGAGCGCACAAATGAGCGCTAATGCATTTGCTATTTAAACAGCGTAGCGCAACGCCTCAAAACCACTCTTGTGCCAAGCTGAAACTACCAAAGGACTTTTGCGCCGCGTCTTGCGCCACACTGCGCAGGGTGTATGATAGGGCCCCTAGTCTGCAATTGGCTACTGTCTCAGCTAAGGTATTTACATAAAGCGATCTGATTGGCTGACAATTCTCTTTGCGTTTAAAAAGTTGAGAAATTCCCGAAGCAGTGCAGACGGATCCACAGTTCAGTTCGGCAGCACTTGGCGTCACCCATTCAAAGTAAATGGGAAGTGTTGACGCTGATGCCTGGCGTGAAGCAATCTAACCATATTGGCTGAGAAAGCAAGACGGTTTTGCAAACATCGGGAAAACTGTAAACTTCTCCAGGCTGTCACACACTGGAAGAGAAGAGTCTATTTGCCACAGACACCGAATAAAAAATGTGTTTAGACAGGGCTTCATAAAGGCAAATTTAAGACTTTTTAAGACCTTTATTAATGAAATTTCAGATTGTATATGGGGCGTATATGGGTGTATATATGGGGAGATTTTTTTCTAATGTAAAAGGAAAAGATTTTCACTTTCCTCATCAAAAAAAAAATTATAATATAGTTATTTCTTAGCCACATATAATAAATGTGTAAAAATAAGCAAACTGGTTTCATAGATGCGCTTTTTTTTAACATAACATAAAGCTAAATATATGCACTACTGTCTCTCCAGGTCAGTGTCTTCACCATACATAAATGTAGAAACAAATATTATAGTAAAAAAAATAATTAAACTATGTTAAATAGAGGTAAATAAAATTAAAAATGAAACTGTAAATGTAAGACTTTTTAAGGCCTGAAATTTAGTTCTAGCCCTTAACACCATGAAATAGGAGCAGCTTGTTTGTGTGTGCACATCTAAATACGACCATGCATTCAGTCTGTAGTGAAAAACAGCAAAAAGCGGACATGATAAAAAACCTTTAGTTAACCTTTAGTTAACATTGCAATGAAATGATCTATAGGAGTAAAGCAGTGTGCTTTGTGTCTCACCTCATTCTGCAGATGAAGGAGCGCCTGGCACCCATACTCATCCTCACAGTCGCCTGACCACCCTCCTTCTTCACCGTGCCCGTTTTCATATCCAACATCCGGCCTAGAGTCAGAAAAGGGGAGCAGGATTCAAAGGTTTTGTTTATGTAAAAAAAGGGTTAACAGAAGAAAGTCATGCATAGCTGAAGTCAAAATTAATAGTCCACCTGTACATTTATTTCTTTTCCAATATTTTTCAAATGATGTTTAACAGAGCAAGAAATGTTTCACAGTATGTCTGATAATATTTTTTCTTTAGGAGAAAGTCTTATTTGTTTTATTTTGGCTAGAATAAAAGCAATTTATAATTAAAAAAACATTTTAAGGTCAATACTATTGGCCCCCTTAAGATATATTTGCTTTTGATAGTCTACAGAACAAACCACTGTTATACAATGACTTGCCTAATTACCCTAAATTGCCAAGTTAACTTTTAAAATGTCACGTAAAGCTGATAACATTAATACTAGTATCTTGAGAAATATTATGTAATGTCATCAAGGCAAAGATAAAAGAAATCAGTTGTTCGTTTTAATAAAATGAATGATTTGAACTAGGGATTTTCAGCAGAAAGTATGGCAGTGGTTTCTCACCGCTGTTGTTATTGTTCTCGGTGGTGGAAAGCTGCTCTCTGAGCTTCTCCACATCGTCTGGATGAAGCTGATCATATAGTGAAGATCCCAGCCAGTCTGACTGAGCCTGGTTTAAAACCGGCGTTACAGAATCCGACACGTAAACAACGCGACCAGTCTCGCACGACACGACAAAGAGAAAACCATCAGCTGCCTCCAGAATCAGATGCTTCAGCTCCTACACAGAGACAGAGAGAGATAGTGAAAATATTTACAGAACCATCATCAAAATCATTCAGTACAGGGTTCTGTACTGGGTCCATTCTTGTTTATCATATATCTACTGCCTCTTGGTCACATTTTCAGAAAATACAACATACAATTTCACTGTTATGCTGACGACAGTCAACTCTACCTGTCCACCAAGCCCTCCTGTTCTTTTCCTCCTTCTGCTTTGTGCAAATGTTTAGCTGAAATAAAAATCTGGCTTTCAGCTAACATTATAAAATTAAATAGTGACAAAACTGAAGCCCTTCTCATCGGCACTAAAAGTGTTTTGGATAAAGCTGATAATTTCACTATAGATATTGATAACAGCACCATTTTTCCCTCTGTGCAGGTAAAGAGTTTGGGTGTCATCTTGGATAGCACACTCTCATTTGAAGGTCACATCAATATCACACGTACTGCATATTTCCACCTGCGTAAAATCACTCGTCTCCGCTCTTCTCTCACAACCAATAACACAGCAATTCTTATCCAAGCATTAGTTACTTCACGTCTTGACTACTGTAATGCACTTCCTAACTTCTCCTTAAACTCCAACTGGTTCAGAACCATGCAGCTCGTGTCATCTCTAGGCCTCCATCTCACAAGCATGTCACACCACTCTTCTATCAGCTTCACTGGCTTCCAGTAAAGTATCGCATTGACTTTAAAATATTACGTCTATGTTTCAAGGCACTTCATAATCTCGCTCCTCAATATCTTACCAAACATCTCCATATCTACACCCCTTCTCGTACCCTTAGATCAGCCAACAACTCCACCCTGGTACCACCTCGCACTCGATTGAGCACAATGGGAGACAGATCCTTTAGCTCTATGGCTCCTCGGCTATGGAACTCGCTTCCCCAAGATCTAAGAAGCAGAGATAGTCTTCACACTTTTAAATCCTATCTAAAGACCCATCTTTTTAAGCAGGCTTTTCTTTAACAATTTTTATCATGTTTTTTTATAATGTTCTTTTATATTCGCTATTGTGTTTTAACCTGTTTGGTCAATGATTGTTTTAGTAATGTTTAATTTGTTTTAGAATGGCTGTTGATGCGACCTTGGGTGTCTTGAAAGGCGCCATTTACAAATAAAATGAATTATTATTGATTAATTAATTAATTAATTATTAATGTTTGACATAATTTTTAAAATCTGGTAGGGAGTCAGTGGTAATCTGCAGATTTCTCTGTGGGCCCAATTATAACTAATGCTCGCCATCTGATTTGGTCTGTGAGAAAGGACGGTTTATAGGTGCCATCAGTGCTGGTGTTTCCAGTTCCTCTGAGAAACTTCATGTGTGATACGGCCATGTGCAGGATGGTGAGTTTGTCTTGTTTTCGTGTTTATTAGATAATTTAATTAAAACATTTTGAATTTAAAAACTGGTAGTGAGTTGAATTCTTGAAAAAAACTTAAAGGTGCACTAAGCAATAATTAAAAGATGCTTTTGACCACAATGAAGCACCCAAAACCCTCTCAGCCAATCAGCAGTAGGTGTGACTAGTAACTATAGTGACAGAGCACAGTAAAAATCACAAAGTTTACCTCTTCTCAGCAGGGAAAACCATTAACAATCAAGAATACAAAATAACATGGTGTCATGGCTTATCAATTAAAAAATGTGATTATAATAATGGAAGTCAATGGGGCAAAAACAGCCCCCAACATAACGAAAGGGAAGTCAATTTGCCTACAGTGCATTGTTGATTTTTTAAAAGCATTTTCCCAAAATATGTGTCAAAATAAGATCTGTCATCAACAATCAATCCATTTCCTGAAACAGAAAGCTGTGGCCAAATTAAGCCTCAAAATCACTCCAAAGTGCATGAAAACATCCCAAACAGCACACAAGGGTTAAGTAAATAAACAGACTCAATGAATCGATGGGAATCTGCTTATAACTAATGCTTGATACCTGACCTGGTCTGTGAGAAAGGACAGTTTATAGGTGCCATCAGTGCTGGTGTTTCCAGTTCCTCTGACAAACTTCATGTGTGATACGGCCATGCGCAGGATGGTGAGTTTGTCTGGTTTTAGTGTTTTTTGGATAATTTAAAAATATATATTTTGAATTTAAAAACTGGTAGTGAGTTGAATTCTTGAAAAAAACTTAAAGGTGCACTAAGCAATATTTAAAAGATGCTTTTGACCACAACGAAGCACCCAAAACCCTCTCAGCCAATCAGCAGTAAAAGGTGTGTCTAGTAATTATAGAGACAGAGCACAGTAAAAAAAAAAAAAAAAAAAAAAAAAAAAAACAAATTCACAAATTTTACCTCTTCTCAACAGGGAAAACCATTAACAATCAAAAACACATAATAACATGGTGTCATGGCTTATCAATTAAAAAATGTGATTATAATGGAAGTCAATGGGGCAAAAACAGCCCCCAACATAACGAAAGAGAAGTCAATTTGCCTACAGTGCATTGTTGATTTTTTGAAAGCATTTTTCCAAAATATGTGTCAAAATAAGATTTGTCATCAACAATCATTCCATTTCCTGAACCACAGAGGAAGCTGTGGCCAAACTAAACCTCAAAATCACCCCAGAGTGGACGAAAACATCCCTAATAGCACACAAGGGTTAAGTAAATGAATAGACTCAATGATGAAGGGCTAACTAATGCTTGATACCAGACCTGGTCTGTGAGAAAGGATGGTTTATAGGTGCCATCGGTGCTGGTGTTTCCAGTTCCTCTTAGAGACTTCATGTGTGATACGGCCATGCGCAGGATAGTGAGTTTGTCTGGTTTTCGTGCCAGAGCGCTGCAGGCGGGCACCATATCCGACAGCTCTGTGATGTAGGCGGTCATTTTATTCCTCCGCCGGCGCTCGATCTCACTGTGGTTCTCCCTGCGGTCAGGAGCATGAGGGATGAGCGGCGCGTGAAATTCAGGAGAGAAGAGAGAGAGAGAAAAAAAGCACAGGAGGAGGCGACAACGGAAAAAAATCAAGGGAGGAGAGAGAGAGAGAGAGATTGATGAATAAGCAAATAAAGACACCGTCCGATGATCTGTCTATGAAAAAACAAATGTGTATGAACGATCTTATGAGCGCTGAAAGAAAATAAGCCTGAGAAAAGAAGGACAGAAAAACACCTGTAGGAAAAATGTGACACTGACAGACATTTTCTGCAAACTGCACTGACCACTGCGTTTAAAAATTATTATTTACAGGGCTCTTTAATGTTTTCCAAAGTGAAATTTAAGCACTTAACAAGCATTTTCAAGATGCATTTTTAAGTTCTCAAAGACTTGGGTAGTACACATACTACAGATACTAATTATCTATGCCCACCTATAATATATATATATATATATATATATATATATATATATATATTATATTATATATTTGTCTGGGAATATTTTTCCTCTAAAGAAAGTCTTATTTGTGTTATTTCGACCAGAATAAAAGTTTTACATTTTTTAAACATTATTTTAAGGTCAAAATTATTAGCCACTTTAAGCTATATTTCTATACTATGTAGCTTAGCTATATTTAAAACGCTTCCGGTTAGTGGACGTTAGATCAGGTTTATTTTGTACATTACATAACGGACATCTATACAGCAGTGGATATTAATTTGTATCCTGTCACATATGCCATGCAAAACAGTGCAAAGTCAAACGCTGCGCTGTGTGTGTGTGTGTGTGTGTGTATGCTTAAACTTTGTACCGTCAATGTGTGCGACTAATTGTGCAACTCCACTAAACAAACATCAAATACTCATTGAGAATGTTCGTACTGTAGTATTTCTCACAAACGCAACTAGACATCTGCGTTCTTCATGTCTGTCACTGTGCTGATTATCTGACGCAGCTGAGGTGGGGATTGAGGCACACCATAACAGGTACGTGCGAACGGTAAGCGGGAATATATAGCATTAAAGGCACAGATAACAGAAACAGCTGGATGGTGTCCAGAACAGAAAATCCCAATATTCTTAAAGCTATAATAAATAATATATATATTTGTCTGGCAATATTTTTCCTCTGGAGAAAGTCTTGTTTGTGTTATTTCGACCAGAATAAAAGCCATTTTTAATTTTTTAAACCTTATTTTAAGGTCAAAATTATTAGCCTCTTTCAGCTACATTTCTATACTATGTAGCTTAGCTATATTAAAAACGCTTCCGGTTAGTGGACGTTAGATCAGGTTTATTTTGTACATTAACATAACGGACATCTATACAGCAGTGGATATTAATTTGTATCCTGTCACATTTGCCATGCAAAACAGTGCAAAGTCAAACGCTGCGCTGTGTGTGTGTGTGTGTGTGTGTGTGTGTGTGTGTATGCGTAAACTTTGTACCGTCAATGTGTGCGACTAATTGTGCAACTCCACTAAACAAACATCAAATACTCATTGAGAATGTTCGTACTGTAGTATTTCTCACAAACGCAACTAGACATCTGCCTTCTTCATGTCTGTCACTGTGCTGATTATCTGACGCAGCCGAGGTGGAGATTGAGGCACACCTTAACATGTACGTGCGAACGGTAAGCGGAAATAACAAGCATTAAAGGCACAGATAACATAAACAGCTGCATGGTGTCCAGAACAGAAAATCCCGATATTCTTAAAGCTATAATAAATAATCTGATGGGTGATTTGAGCTGAAACTTTACAGACACATTCTGGAGACACCAAAGACTTATCTTCAACTTTGAAAAAGAAGTAAAATAGGTGCCCTTTAAAGGTTCAGGACACCCCGGAGAACTTTTTCTTTTATATTAACAGATGTGTGTGTGTTGAGCTTCAGTTAAGACAATGTTAGCACCTGTCAGCTTTAATTGTGGGGAAAACTGGATAATTTTGAGCTTTTGTCAGCTAATTTCAGCTTCCGGGTTTAAAATGATTTTTGGGGCGGGATCAAAATCGGCGACGTAGCGCAGTACTGCTAGTGCAATGATGACGCGTCGGTTTCTCATTATTATTTATAGCGGAGTTTTCTTATCCTATGAGAAGAGCCGTCTGCTTAATTATTCATGAGACCTGCCAGACCTGCCAGTGTCAAGCCCGAGCTGAGAGACACGGAAACCACGGCACAGTCATGAATGCTCGTATGTGTTTGTTTCCATGATCCACGGGGTTTGTTGCATGTTTTCCCCCGCGATCTTGTCAGGACCGATCATACAGCAAAGCTGTGTGCGTGCTGCTAGCATTTTTGTCGGGAGAGAAGCACAAGAATTAGAGAATGGCGGACGCTGTGTTTTATCAGGAGTTCGTTCACATTCAGACACATCGCCGTGCTGCTGTGTTTGCCTAAATCCTCCAGATTACCAGCAGGGTTAATGGTTAAAATAGACGGGTCAGGAGACCTGCTGCACTGAGTCTGCTGGATACGGGGATTGAGGGAGAAGTCCTCATTTATAGTGTTTACATGAACACACATCTTTATAATGATATAATTTGTGGTTGTCAGTATATGAAATTACGAATAACAAATGTAGCAGGGCATTAAATCACTGTTCATTTCTTTGCATTTTAACTTTGTAAACTATAAACTCATGCGTCTCCTCTTTGTGTCTCATTTTGTGAGCTAACGGACAACAACAGTTGTTCGCTCCCCTTCTCCTCTGCTGGCCACGCCCACTCCTGCCCGATGCTCGCGGAGCTCCACGCCCATTAATCATGCATCTTTTGAAAAAATTCTGAAGTAGACTTTAACCGAAAGAGGGGAGTGTCATGGCCCTTTAAATAAAAAAAATATATGAAATAAAAACTCCAGTGGGTGGCGCCAAGACGATCTTTGTCACTGAATCATTCTTTAAGAATTCTTCTAAATGGCTCATTCAGTCATGACTTTGGTAAGTGATACTATGAACAACTCGCTGGAATAGGTTACAAATTATTATATTACTATTAGTTATTAAAGTGAAACTCTATTTATTAGACTAGTTCGGAAGGGAGATCCAAAGCGTCTCAGCAGTGACTTTGTTGGGATTTATTTTCATGAGAAGCTGCACTGACAGCATTTACCCTTTTAAAAGGGTTTCCAAAGCACCAATATAGGATAGTCAAAGCTTAAATATTAGCAGATGATATTTCAGATTTTTTCATTTCAATAAACTGAAAGAATACAGGCTATGAATGCCAAAGCTTGCCGTTTTCTGTCAGTCAGTACCTGGCAAATCTCTCCTTGTCATTTGATCCGCCTCCATCATCGTCACACCTGAGAAATAGATAATAAATTGAATTGCCAAATACAGTCATAAGACACAAGTCTTCAGATTCAAGTCACAGATCATGACTAACCTGAATAATTTGCCTCCTTCATCGTCCTCATAGTCGGATCTGGAAGCCAGGGAAATTCACATAATTAGTCAGTGATGTTGCACAACTGCTCATTACACAACTCCAACATTGCAAAGAAACGGCATTCAAATGATCCCGCATTTCTCCACCCGACAGGCAGACGGATCATCAAGCCCAGCAATGAATCAAATCAACCACAGACACTCAATAAACAACGCTACTATTGTTTGGACGAAGCCATAATGTCATTCCCGGGAATTTGAAAAGCCGCCGCCAAACAAAACATCTTCGCACACGATGCAAATTAAGAGACCGTTCACCGACAAACGAGCATCCCGTCAAAAAATTAAACCCGTATGACATTCTGTAGAACATCATAGGAGACGTTAGGAGGAATGTTCAGGCTGCTAATGCAAGACAACCATGGAATTCTCCAAAAATGACAAAAAGAACAATAAAACACCATGTAATTTGTATTCCTGTTATGTGGTCAGGATCATGACGTCCTTATGACTCAATCCAGAAATGCGGGAATATTTTCCATTCTTTTACCCTTCAACTGGGAGGCTCTACATCACATATCAGGGCTCGAAATTGCGACCATTTTGGTCGCATATGCGCCCGAAAATTAATCTATGCGACCTCATAATATATATGGGAGCATTAGTGCGACTGCAGATAATAGTTGTAGTGCGACCTGTTTTGATTTTTTGTAAAAACGTGCTGAATCGCTCTTCTCTGCCGCTATATTGGTTCATATTAGCTGTCATTCACTCAAGGTATTCCGCTGTCAGATGACAGGGAAGGAGCTTTTATGACCACGGGGAAATGCAAAAGGCTGAAGAGTAAAAACTTAAAGCACACAAGTTTGCAAATTCCACTTAAAGTTGAGGTGCAGATGAGAGCGATCATGACACGTCACGTGTGAATAATGATCCGCCAGCTGAGATCAATCGAGTACGCGCTTCTTGGAGAAGGCGCCCGAATCTCCATGCGTCGCATTCACTGCGTGTTCAGCGCAAATGTCCGCTAAAAGTCAAATCTAATACTGTACATTTCATCGCCAAAGAAGCTCGCCTTTACTAAGTTTACACTGAAACTGCGGCTCATAACAAAGAGCGATATTGCGCCGGATGTCACCGCAAGAATCCTGCTCTGCCTGCTCATAAATTGGGTCGGCTGACTCGCCTGCTTTTCCACTAACACAGAGAAATGAAGATCATCTCAGACTGAACCTTTAAATTGACACAAACTGAAACCAAAACTTTTAAAGAGTGATAGAAGTGAGACTTTACTTTCTTTCTTTTGTCTATTCTTTTTTGAGGTGTATATTATTTTTATTTTTTATTTATTTACTGATGACTAAATAAATACTAGTACAAAATCAACATTTCTTACTGCAATGCTTCATTTTTGTTTGATGCAAACTATACATTTATTTTTCACAAAGTAACAGACTTTGTATAGCAGATAACCTACATTCATGCACATTCAAGGCAGTATCATAATGAGAAATGTAATTCATTGTTACTATTATTGTCATTTTCATCATCACTAATATTCTATAGCCTAATTATTAGACATTCATTTTGGAATTATTGCACAAAAATATCAATGTCTTCTCAGCATTAGTTCAATAGTTGTTTCTGGTTTTTGTCAGTCCTATTGATGTTGTTTTAAAATACAATAAATCCCTTAAAAAGCAATTTGCAGCGGTGCTCATTCATTTTTGGAGGGTGCTCCTAAATTTTTTTTGGTGCTCCTAAATTTATTTTGGTGCTCCTAAATATTTGAAGTTGGGAGCACCGGCGCTACCAAGTAAAAAAGTTAATTTCGAGCCCTGCATATAGTATTTACAGCAAAATGAATGCATTATTAGCGTGAAATAATGTATTTATAATGGTAAATGCATTTAGAATGATGAAAAATGTCAGCTCTGTTTTTGGTTTAACAATAAGTTATTAAAAAAATAAGTTTAACAATAAGTTAATAAGAATTAAATGTTCCCTATCACACATAACTTATTATTAACAGTTTTAAACCACTAATAGCAATATTAGCAATATTTAGCTCTAGATCAGGGGTGTCAAACTCAATTCCTGGAGGGCCGAAGCCCTGCACAGTTTAGTTCCAACCCTGCTCCAACACACTTACCTGTAGGTTTCAAACAAGCCTGAAGGACTCAATTAGTTTGATCAGGTGTGTTTAATTAGGGTTGCAACTAAACTGTGCAGAGCTGCGGCCCTTTTGGAACTGAGTTTGACACCTGTGCTGTAGATGCTTACCTCAAAGCAGACTCCACATGGCATGTCTAAAACACTATTATATGCATTCTCATTATATTATTGTTTTTAAAAATTGAGAATTTCACTGAAATATCACAGTTGACATTATTAATCTACTATTAGTGTATCCTAAATATTCTCCACTAATTAATTACAGAAGAATAACTACACGCCTTAATGCATCGTAAACTAGTGCTTTACAGATTATTTTGCCTTTTGATAACCGATGTAAAGGAATTGACCGGATTGTAGAAACGAACACAAAATGTTTTTTTTTTTTTTTTTGTCACTGAAATTACAAATAATACAGAAAATCTGTGTTTCGTGCAAATGTTTACTTGTTTACTTAAAAGGGATTAAATGTACACTGTAAACGATTTCTGTTGTTTTCACGGTATTATACTGCATTTCTCAACAGTTGTTTACTGTATAAGCTGTGCAAAGTGTGTTACTGTATATATTGCTGTTTTCACAGCATGATAATGTATTCTCAACATTTCCATACTGTGAACATGATTAACAGTATGCTACTGCAGATTTTACAATGAATTTTGGGAAAAAATCAGTTACTGTGCATCTAAATACAGTACTGCAAATGACCATGAAAAACTCTACACACACTTTTTATTATTATTATGTTTATTTTATTTTTTGACAAAGTATTTTGTGAAGAAAAATAAAATAACCAGTTTCTTCAGACTGTTCAGTGCATGCATAAAACTGTCCCCTGGTTTTCCAAATTTGGGTGTACTGCACCTTAATTTTATAAGGTTAACATGAAAATATTAAATCATTTTTAATCAACATAACTTTGTGCTTAACCAAAACGTAAACTGGAACAAAAGTAATTGATTCATCATGAAACCAAAGTCAGCTTAAATGTCAAAATGACCAGCCTGCTTTAGACGGATTCATGAGGTTAGGGCACCCGTCATCACCATGGAGGTCACATATCTCCGCATTTTCAAAACAATATTTTAAAATACCCACCATCTCTATAAATAAACCACAGACTTTAAAACAATTACATTCCCGCATGAAAAACGGTTAAAACTAAATTTCATAACACATTCATTATAGAGCCATCTAAGACCGGGGCAAGTCTCACATGTCTAGCCGATTATAACCTCGTTTCGCCGGATACATGAGTGATGATGGACACCCTGGAGGTCAGAATCTCCGCTATCGGCAAAGCACGCTTAAAAAATTTACACATGATATCTATAAATAAACCACAGGTTTGAGTTTGTAAGAACTACATTCTCGCATGAAACACTGTTAAAATTTAATTTCGTGACATATTAAACGCAATATTTATAATATTAGCTGGGCTTTCTCATCCGCCATTACCATTTGCTTGTTGATGTGAAATAAATTCTGGGAGAAAAAAAATATATATATTTATATATAATTCTCAAAACACTTAAAACGAACTTTATTCTTATTGTCAAGGTCAGATATATGTAATAATTTCGCTGGTAAAGTGAATAAAAAACAATGTTACTATATTGTAATCAATATCACGTTTGCACTGGTTCGGTTCAGCACTCGAGCAACTCTGAATCGTATTGAACCGAATTGAACCGTTTGCTCGGGAATTATTTGATCACACGTGTTCACAAGCACATTCAGCAATATGCAATTAGTGTATGATTATTAGTGTATAAATGCGTGTGGCCAAGCAGTATAACGAAATAGTAATGAATCATATACAAAAAGGAATCGGTTTTAGGCGGATTCGATTCTTTACTGTTCACTAAGGAGCCGATTCATAGAACCGAACGGACACGACTCGACATGCAGGCAACGGCTCTCCTAATTTGAAATTCACCTGTCGTCTTTCATCCAGCGAATTCATCCTCGGTAAGTGTTTTAAAGTCAAATTCTGTCCGTTAAAGGATTGTTTTATAAGTATTTCTGTGTATTGTGTGTGTAATTTAAAAGAATTAACCAAGTGACATTAGTTGTAGGTTCTTATGTTATGTCACGCTATCCGTTAACAAACGGTATTTTAAACAAGAAATAACAGACGCCAGGCGGTCATTGTAGTGTTTGCGAGGTATTAGATACAGTGAGTTTATCTTGAGTGAGTTTTTGACCATACGTTAAGTTACCTGAAAAACATAACTTTAACTTATTGTAACTGCATTAATGAATTCTCTATTTCAGCACAACACTAAGATGAAGGCGAAGTCACCATGAAAAGTTAAACGTTTACCGTTAAGGTAAGCTCTGGTCTTCACATAGTCATTATGACTAAGCTATCATTATGGTAAAATTTTTCAACTGTAAGTTAGTTATTTAAACTAAACTCATAATGAAATGAGTCTTAACTGTTTTATTAAATGGAGCTGAAAATTAAATGCAGTTGAATTATTTTAAGCTAACGTTAATATTAACAAAATACATATTAATTGTCTATTTCTCAATAATGTTAATGAGCTTGATGTATAGTGTGTCATTAATTGTACATTTAATTTTTGGTGTTCAGGTGTACCTGAGGTGAGTGTACGTTCTGAGTACACAGATATAAGCCAAAGTCATTATCACTATATATATATATATATATATATATATATATATATATATATATATATATCCTATTCTAAGAGAAATTGATGGGGTCAGGGAATGATTTGTGTACAAATGTATTTTAACCCCATACAGATTGCTATGGTTGTACCATAGATTTAGATTAATTAATGTTAAGTCTTATTTTACCCTTATTATATTTATCTGTTTTTCAGCTACAGTAATTGATGTTGAAAAACTGATGCAACCAATCACTCCTCACTTGATTATTCAAGGTAATGTTGATGTCTTCCTCATTTTGATTAGATTTTTAAATGTCAAGTTGTTCACAGATTTGTTGTGAGGAGTTTCATGTACAATCTCTTTTTCTTCTTCCAGCAGTTCCTAAGATAAAAAAATCTGGTGTTAAAACAGCCACGGCTATGCTATTTGCCTACCAAGTGCTGAGTAAATATTAGACAAACATTTTTTTCTATAACTGTTGTCTTTGTGTTTATTAGGAATTTTACTGGGCGTATGTGTTTTTTTTTTTTTTCAAACAGCCTGGAAACTGTAAGTTTAGTTCAATATGTTATTTTATGCTATTCATTTTTGTCTTAACATGGATTGCATGTTGAAGCTATCGTTTTATAGTGGGAAAATGTAAAAGAGAATCACTGAATACAATGGCATAATGATTCTGCTTGTTCAAAGAAAGTACTTGATTTAGTTTTCCTCAAGCGACACATCAGTTTTTATGACTATTGCTTGACACTTGAATTGAAGGGACAGTTCACCCCAAAATGAAAATAATAGCATCTTTGGCATCCTCCACTTGTTTCAAAATAGTTATACATTTAATTTGTTCCGTTGAACACAAACTCGTATTTTTTAAAGAAATTTGGTTCAAATATGGATGTCAATAGTTACTGGTTACTAACATTCTTCAAAATATCTGCTTTAGTGTTTAACAGAAATTTAAACGGATTTAAAACACATGGAGTAATGGTGGCAAAAAAGTAAACTATCCTTTTAAATATTTTATTCTGAGACTTATTTTTATATGTCTTGTCTTTTGCCATATTGTCTTTCTAGCCCAGATTGTGATGAACCTGGAATGTGACACCAGTTACTCTTAAGACAAGAACCGAATAAAGCACAGATGTGGAGGGATTTGCAGCCAAACTAACTGGAGGGAAGGAACCTTTAGGTAAAAGCACCTGCTTTATTTAGATCTGAAGTATTTTATTTGACATAGAGATTTATTGTTTTAATTCTAATTTAAAGCAAACAAGGTTGAGCACCCCTGGTCTAAAAGCTCAAAAATGCTGTTTCCGTGATAAGGTTAAATGTAGTTGAGAAATAGATTCATTAGGATCAATGCTTAAAGTAAACATTTTCTTCTCTCTGTAGACCAAACATGTTTACTATCCCTCACATTTTAATAAATTGTTTCTGTTTTTGTTTCTTACAGTGTGGGTGAACATACTACCTGGATGTCCAACAAAGGCTGCACAAGAGCTCATTTGATAGCACATATTCTGTCCTGTCTACATCTCTGATGACCTGGAAGTGCTTCGACATCAGTAAGTAATACATCTTTATATTGTCATGCATACAGGATTTCTGTAAGCTTAGCTTTAATGTTAGTTTCTAATCAGCAGTGACTGTTTTAAAAAATTAAGTATTTAAATTATTCTCAACGTTTTACTGATGCTGTGCACAGTAACGTTATGATGATTTAGTTTGAGGAAATGTCACTAGAGGGTTTGTATAAAAAATAAATAAATAAATTGTATGAAATGACTCGATAAAATGTTTATTTGTCTCGCTGACATGCCATCACTGCTGCATATTAAAATACAGTAATACGAATTGACAGCAGAATATTACCACAAACATTTCATGAAGTAGGCTAGACTGCTCTTTAGTTCACACTCAACTTTAACACATTTCCTCGTGTCGCTGAGCCTCTCTGCAGATTTTGCCAAAAACGAATGCTTAGTGATTACTTTGTTTTATGCAAACAAAATATCAGTAACTCATCATTAGCATTATTTAAAAAAAAAAATCACCCACAGCTTTTATGTTCTCTAACGCAATCTTATCTGTAAGTTAGAAGTGGATTTATACGTGTTAAAAGCCTAAAAGTATTTAATTAACATTAGTCACGTTACATTAGATTATTTTTATTTATTTAATTTTAAATATGTAGCCTCTTAAAGTGAGAATGAACTGTGTTTACCCCTCTTAAATCCGTGGAAGCACTAGTAGTGTGATCATGGAATCAGATATTCGAGCTATACAGAGTCGGACATTAAGTTAAGATGAGACTTTATTTTTTACACACCTGTATGGACACCTGACTAGCGATCTTCAAGAACAATGCCCGCTGATCTTTTCCCCATTAACGTTAGTGTAATTGTGAATTGACAACAAACTGTATTTCACCAACAAAAACAATTAAAAAAACAGTTATATATATTATAACTGTTATATATATTTATATATATATATATATATATATATATATATATATATATATATATATATATATATATATATATATAAACAACAGTGCAGTGTTTCGTTTCTGAATGAATTAAATGGTTTGAGGGATGATTAGTTTTTACTTCAGTGATTGATTTTGCTTGTCATTTTTGCAGGATCATCAGAAGTGCTGCTGCCCTTTTTCACTGTCCCTTTCCACATCATTTGGCCTTCATCATTTCCTGTCTTGTAGCAGTATTTTCACTTGTTTTTAAAATTGTAATAATTTTTGATGCATTTATTGTTGACTGGTTTTAATGATCAATTGTTTATTAGTGTTCTGTTGCTTTGTTATATTGAATAATTGCTACTGTTTTAGCATGGTTTACACAATAAACCTTTATTGTGAAGTTAAAGTTTCAGTTTCTTTATTTTTCTTGTATTTCTTGAACAGTTAAAATAACACTTGTGCAATTTTTGAAAATTTTTACCCATTATAAAGTAGCACTATTAAATAAAATAAAATAACATTTAATAACTGTAAAATACTATACAGTAATAATGAAAGTAACGTTAAAATACCGTAGTTCTTCATGGTAAAAATGTACAATAAAATACTGTTTTCAGTTTTGCAGTATGTGTATCACTACTGTAATTGGTGTTACAGTAAAAATCAACAACAGTAAAATGATGTATTACATTTTACAGTAAATGTAATACTAATGTAATTAGTATTACAGTAATGTTACTGTTTTATGAAATACAGCAGCTACTGGATAATTGTTGCCAGTAACTTACTGTTAATTTAACAAGAAATCGTTTACAGTGTAGGCTTGATAATATATTCTGAATGTATGGTTCCAGGGTCAGAGACTGTCAAAAATAGGTTATGTTGGAGTTAAGTACATATTAACACAGATAAATATTCACAAAATATTTTGTCTAGAGATGAATTGAAACTGTATATTGGTTTTTGAAGTTTTTCTAGGAGATGCAAAATGTCCCTGCAATCCAGGAATCACCATTCTGTGTATTTATAAGTGCTGTCCAAAATAAAAGATCATATTTACTAAAAATATTTCTGCATTACTTCAGTACATTTATGCATACTGTGTATATTCATGTTTACAAACATATGCATGGCTATAATGCATAAAATGCTTGTTTATACACACACACACACACACAACCAATATGTGCATATAATCCAATACACCCTTTGCACAGTTTTAAGTCAGAAATTCATGAAGAAACCATGAAGCACTGTAGCCTTTCAGTTCTCGTAAATCTTCAATCAAACTATTATTTGAAAACACCATTTTATTTAAGCCTTACACAGCTAAAAATAAATACAACATTACGCCATCATGTCACCACCAAGGAAAGTAAATAAAAGGATTTTTTTAATGCACAGATTGTACTTTTATTCCTGTACGAATTGTCTTTCTTATTCCTGTAGTACGATAGCAGTCTTATTTTTGTATGATATATTATTGCTTTTATATGTGTGTGTGTGTGTGTATACACACACATACTGTACACACATAAATATACACAGTACACATGTGTATATTATGTAAATTAGTGATGGGAAGTTCGGATAATTTTTCTGACTCTGATCTTTGAGTCTCGTTCATCGAGATGTTCATCGAGTTCACCGATAGAGGACTCGAGAGATGAACGGATCAATTATTTTTCCGGCTCTAAACACATATGATTGGCTTCTGCCTTTCCGCGATGAACGACTCAAAAGACTTGAAATGAACAATACCACCTGCACAAATGTGCGCACGCGCAGATAAACCAATCACTTCCTGTGAGAACTCGCAGTTCCCGAATGATTTTGAAGATTCGTTCAAAATGAACGAATCGTTCAAGAACGACCCATCACTAATGTAAATACAAACTTTTATTTTGGAAGCAATAATCGTTCAACAGCAGTAATATTCATGATGTTTTTGGTCATTTTTGAAGACACATTTCCCAAAGCATCTCCTTTTAAGGTCAACAGATTAAAAAAGGGTCAAAAAGACGTCAGAACTCTCCTTTTTCAACTAAACAGTGTTTCAGCAGGATTAATGAGACGCTGAGTGTTCACACTTCAGACTTACGTGGCTTGCCGTTTGTTGGCTTTTTGCACACCGTTGGAATGAGATCCATTAGAGGAGGTCATGGCCAGAGACGGGACCTCAGACATATCTAAAACAAAACACACAGACCAGAATGATAACCAGGGCCGGGTGATATGACAGAAATCTCATCTCACAATTTAAGTCAACTGATAACTATAATCAAGTTAACTATACGGTGCTCAGCCTGAATAAACGTACACCTCTCACAGATCTCTATTTGAAATTCATACTTTCTACAGGATTATATTTATGCATATACAGCAGCACATATAACTTTGTATATAGCAATATACCTGTACACATACACTTGTTAATTTGTATATTTGCATTCACTGCTTACTTCTTTTTAAAATATATTTATTATCTGTTTTTTTTGTCCGGTCTCTGTAATTCTGTTGCACTGTAGAAGCTCTGTCTGTGCTGATACATTTGATTAGTCAGTACCAAAGCCAAAACTGGAAATAATCTCACAAAAAATAATGAATTTATTATACAGTAGTCTTGATGCTTACTGCACACCTCTTTTCCACTTATTGTCTTATTAATAATAAAATAAAATAATAAAATTTATATATATATTATTTCTCAAATTGATTCAAAACTTCAAAGAAAACGTTAATTATGAATGTAGAAAAATAAAATAAATATAAATGAAACATAAAACTTTCAAGAACTGATGATCACTAATTGCAAGCACAATAATCTAAGAATGGGGTAAGCAAAATAATCTTGTTTTTCCTTTTGACACAAGATTACATAGCTCACCCGACTGGCAGATTATTTTGCTTGTTTATGGAAAAACCCACTAAAGTTGACATATTAGTTCCTAAAACAAGACAGTTTGCTTGTCTAGAAAAGTTTTAGATATTTGGGTTAGAAACAAAACAAAATAAATCTAAGTTTAAAAAGCATTTCTTGCACTGTAACTAATCTTAACATACACAATCAGTGTCTTAGTGTTGTCCTAAGATGCACACCAAAATTTTAAAGAGCAGTAAACATAACGATAATGAATAATTGTTTTACATTTATCCAGAATGTGAAAAATATATACCTTTTAAAGCTGCTTTAAAAAGAGACTATTATGAGAAAAAACCAGCTTAATGCCTTACGTTATATCTTTAAAAATTGTACTAAGTAATTTCAATAGTTAATAAGAAATTTAATTGCTTTAATACTAAAACACCTATAAATCTCACTGCTTAGACAACAGAAACTACACATTTATTCTTTAAATCGAAACCAAACAAGGAGGTTTAGCTTTACTTAAAAATCAAACACTGAAGAAAAGTTGATATGTATTATCAAATCATAAATTAAATAATGCAAGACTAGCAGCAAGCAATCATAAGCATGTGATCCTCCAGAAATTAGTTAATAAATAAACCTTACTTATTTAAAGCATAACAAGCTACTGTAAATAATATATGCCCTAAAATTAGCATTACTTTTCTAGCTTAATAAGTGATTCAATTACAGTAAGCGGTTATTTTGTAACTAATTACACCTGACACTACCTGTTCATTAATAAATGAATATTCTAGAACAAATCTAGGTAGCAGGGTTGTAAAAAATAAAAACAACCGCTCACATTATAATATCCAAGTTAGCTTGACATTCAACATTTTTCAAAGGTGAATGAGCTCTGACCAGCTGCTGAGGTTTACTGGATAGTTTCAGCTCAGTTTGAGTTAATAATGATCAAGCTTATTCACATATCAGAGTAAATATTATCATTAATTCTGCTGTGTGTCACAAAAAACATGGCAAAGAAAGTCCAAACATAACCCTTGATGACAGCTTGTTTTGAACATGTAGCATTAGCATATGGGAAGCCTCCCTCGTTATTTAAAACAAAGTTTAAACAAGTTTATTGCGCATATAAACCTGCTTATTTATGTCAAAAACAAACACATTACACAGCACCAAAAATAAAACATGTTTACTACTGACATACATGAGAAAGACGCAGAAAATAGAGCAACGAGTGTGTACTGTATACATGAAGTACAGATTACCAGTTCTTGATAAGCACAGCTAAATGGTTAAATCTGATAGACCTGACTGTTGTTTTGAGTCTGTGTGTGTGACAGTGTGTGTAAATGACAGCTAAACATCAGACTGTCATCGCTCCTTACTGACCAAAGAAACAAAACACAAACCCTGACGTCTGCTAGCAAAGCGCTAATGTTCGGTGTTATTATTATCAGCTCCATCAGAACAGCTGCTCGAGCTAGCCTACACCGACAAACTCGACCAAAAAACACCACGACCCAGACATTCAACTGCATAATATGTAATATCATACGTTACCCGGATTAGCTGATGTCATGTCCGACAGGCAAAGGTGTTTAGATTAACAAACATAAACGAAACTAGTTTCCCAGCAGCTGAGGGAAAACCTCCGCTCCCGCTCCGATGTTAGCTTCTCTTCACTCCGATAGAGTCTCTTTAAAAGTGTTTTTAAACCGATGTCATGACCTTAAACATGCTGTCATTTTCTCGTTCAGCTTGTGCGGTATCCTCGAGACGTTTGATAGTTGTTTCTTCCTTGGTGCTCTTTTGACTTTTTCCAGATTAAAAACCTGCCCTGATCCAAGATGGCGCGTGTAATCTTCCAGTAAGCAGTAAATGTACGTCAGAGGAGGAAACTAGAGGCTCTACAGGAGCCAGCAGCGCCACTCAGAACGCGCGAAGGGTGTCGCAAAAACAAAACACTTTTAATATAATATACTTTTTTTTTTCTTTCATAAGTGTATTTTTCTGGAAAAGATTTTTCTTAATTGACTATAATGACTATATTTTATCAATCTATATTTTATATTTTGGCCTGGTCAATATGGCTTAATCCACACAATCTATTTGGGTTTGAACAACATGAAGGAATTAAGTTAATTTATTAGATTTTACGATTTTAAGTGGATTCAACCTAAAACATTTAACTTTCCCCCCCAAAAATTAAGAATTGTGTTGTTTTGGCTTATTTTGAATAAGTAGTTAAATATGTAGCAGGTAACATGATTTTGTGTGTACGGTATATGTGACCTTATATAATTTTCTCTTATTATTAAATTTTTTTTAATTTAGTTTAATTTTTTCTGTGTTTTTTTCTAATGTTTAAAATTTCAGTTGTTGCGGTCTTTTGTGGGCAAAAAAAAAAAAACACAGTTCCTCAATTTTATTACAATTAAATTAATGCTGTTTTGTTTTTATTTTTATTTGTGTTACTGATACTTTTATTATTATCATTATTTATTTATTTATAATTTATTATTAATTTGTATTTGTTTTGTGAACATTGCTAGTAAACTACTTAAAACTGAATTTAATAGGTGTAAAACACACTAAAATATCTTTAATAGGACATATGTAAGCAACCATATGCGTATATTACATTTATTTTAAAACTGACTGATCACTTCCTCATTTTTTTTTAACAATTAAAATTATTTTTGTTTTTATTTGTGTTACTGGTAGCCTACTTATATTATTATTAATTTATTTATTTGAAAACATTGCTTGTAAACTTCCATACTTAAAACTGAATTTAAGCAGAATAGTGGAAGTAATAGACGTAAATACACAAAAATATGCTTAATAAGTAAATATTTAAGCAACAATATGCCTATATCAAATTAATTTTTTTATATAATTCATTATAATTCATTTTCAAAAATTCCTACAATGTATCACGATCCCACAAAATAACAACATAACAAAATTAACATTACACCCTTTAGCAACAAACAACAAAACACAAACATAAATTGAACGGGAGAAAGAAAGGAAAGAATAAAATTATATATATATATATATATATATATATAACCTATCGCTTAGAGAATGGGTGGGTTACATGTGGGGGCTCGTCCGGGATGGAGGTGCGGTTTAGAAGGGTGAGTGTAACAGAGGCCAGTTAGCGTTTACCTATGCAGGTAAACCCCCTCTGAGCTCTAAAGGTGCTCCAGCGACAGATGCTAGAGGCCATGGTCTTTAGCCCACTTGTTAGAGCAACCGACTCCCATACAAAGAATCACTGGGTCAATCCCAGCTCAGACCGGGCTGGATTCAGTAGGAACGGTGGGTTACATATAAAATAAATAAAATAATAATAAATAATAAAATAATAAGGCGGCGCTGTGGCAAAGTGAGTAGTGCTGTGACTTCTGATGAATAAAGGGACTAAGCCGAAAAGAAAATGAATTAATAAAGTAATAATAAATCAAATAAACTATATATATATATATATATATATATATATATATATATATACACACACACACACACACACACACACACACACCACACCTGGCCAATTTTATATAAAATTTAGATTTTCTTATAAACTAATTGTAAACTCGCTGAGTTATGTTTAGTTTTGGAAAGTAATGTTTATATTTTAAACAATATTGTCGTAACTCATGTATAATCTGCAGTGGGAATGATCTTGAATAAGTGACATTTTGACGAAGGGAAGGCTTAAAATAAAAACAAAAATAAAAATACTGATGGAAATGAAATTCAGGCAGAAGCGAGACAAATGATAATGTTTTCTTATAAGATTAATATTTATAATGATTATTAGCATTATTTGTTTAACATTCGCCAGTTAGTCGTGTAAAAAAAGACAAAATTGTGCTTTTTAAAACGTAAACATTATCGCATAGACCTTTACATTCTTTCTAGTAGCTTGCAGCCAATTAAAATGGCAGCTGAAGGTCACGTGACTCCCACGGAAATGAGTTTAGAGTGGCGTTTCTTCTTGTCCTTCAGAAGGTCTTTGCAGAGCTGCATTCCGATCCGCGTGTTCCCTTCACAGTGTTCACTATACCCTGTTCCCTATACACTGCGCTGGAAAAAACTTCGGAATTTCGCATAGAGTTCTTTTAAAAGGGCACCCACACCACTCATTTATAATAGAGATCAGTGACCTACTCCTACATAGCTTTATGCAGATGTTTTTTTTCGCGTACACTTCATTGAATGTCATTCTATTTATCTATTTATTTGTTTGTGGATTTTTTTAAATGAAAATGTATTGCAGTTTGAGCATTTGAATTAAATGCAATTAGTTAAACAGGGTTTCTGCACGTTTCACCAGGCTACATTTAAGACTTTTAAAGACATTTTAAGACCATTATGAAGTACATTTTAGACTTATACATGATAAAAACTCAGGATTTTAAAAATAAATATATATCCCAGTTGGAAAAGATTTTTACCTGCCCTATCAAAAAAGAATAATTTAATACATTTAATAATACAAAAAATGGAAATAAAAATAATTTAATAAAAAAAATATATAGGCACAAATTGGACGGAATATTTTTGAGTCTTATGTGCCTCAACCAGAATATAAAAATATATATGAATACACTTAAATCATTTACTTTAATCATTACTAGTGGAATGTAAAGAGACTTTCAACCAGAACAACAAAACATGTTTCTAATGAAAATAACCTACTGCAGGGGTTACCAAACTTTTCAGCCCGCAACCCCCCAAAAAAACAATGCCAGAGACTCGTGACCCCAATATCCCCTGAGGGGGTTATAAATACAGAAATCTTGCATGCAATGCACACACCAACAGACCTAAGTCTATTCTTGGTTTAATTTTTCAGTGCTATAAATTGGAGAGAAAGTTTAACCTGGTGTTATAAAATCAATCTGGTGCATCGGACGCTATTGCTGTCTTTATTCATTCATTCATTTTCTAGTCTCTTTATTAATCTGGGGTCGCTACAGCGGAATGAACCGCCAACTTATCCAGCAAGTCTTTACGCAGCGGATGCCCTTCCAGCCGCAACCCATCTCTGGGAAACATCCACACACAGTCATTCACACACACACACACACACACACACTACGGACAATTTTGCCTACCCAATTCACCTGTACCGCATGTCTTTGGACTGTGGGGGAAAACGGAGCACCAGGAAGAAACCCACGCGAACGCAGGGAGAACATGCAAACTCCACACAGAAACGCCAACTGAGCCGAGGCTCGAACCAGCGACCCAGCGACCTTCTTGCTATGAGGCGTGAACTGTGACCCACTGTGCCACTGCGTCGCCATTGCTCTTTAACATAATGTAAATGGTAGCAATCCAATAGAACTAGTAACTATAAGCTACTATAGTAACTATGTATAGTAACCATAAGCAACTATTTTCTCTTTAGTAGGTTATGGATACAATATGGCAATTCTTATGGTTTATTAAAAATAAATAGATTTTTGGAAATCACCAGGCTATCCCCCTTCAATGTCCCGCGACCCCTCGGGGGGTCTCGACCCCCACTTTGAGAACCACTGACCTACTGCACCTTTAAGTTAACTTAATTGTTTTAACAAATTTTAGTAGATTCAACGTAAAAAATTAAGTCCCCCCCCCCCTTTGTTTTTTTTCAACTCATTTTAAATAAGTAATTTGAACAAGCAGCAAAATATGTTTTGAGTGTACCTTAAAATATGATAATGACCTATCAAATTAAAAAGACTTTAAATCAATGTCTAATTTGGGCAAAGCGTTATTTGTTAGCATTAAACCAGTGAACAAATGAATGTGTGAAACTGTCTAACTGGCTGAACGTGATCAAGTTTTTTAATGATGAGATTGCAGAAAATGAGTTTAGACCAGGGGTGTCAAACTCAATTCCTGGAGGGCCGAAGCCCTGCACAGTTTAGTTCCAACCCTGCTCCAACACACTTACCTGTAGGTTTCAAACAAGCCTGAAGGACTCAATTAGTTTGATCAGGTGTGTTTAATTAGGGTTGGAACTAAACTGTGCAGAGCTGCAGCCCTTTTGGAGCTGAGTTTGACACCTGTCCTGTAGACCATTGCAGATTTAGTTCAGAGGATGAGCTGTAGTGTTTTAGCAGTTGTGAACATTAAATCATGGCTTTTATTACAAACATTTATTCCTTTCCTGCGGCTTAGTCTCAAATTTTTTTTGAGGTCACCACAGCGGAATGAACCGACAACTATCCCAGCATATATATTACACACATACACATTTATTACACACATACACACTCATTCACACACTCATACACTACGGCCAATTTAATTAATCAATTCACCTAAAGCGCATGTGTTTGGTCTGTGGGGGGAAACTAAAGCACCCAGAGGAAACCCACACCAACACGGGGAGAACATGCAAACTCTTCACAGAAACCCTTAGTGACCCAGTTGGGATTTGAACCAGCGACCTTCTTGCTGCGAGGCAACAGTGCTAACCAGTGAGCCACCATGCAGCCTCTTTATTCCAAACAGTTTAGTATAATGTTGTTGATGTCTGAAGGAGCCAGTAGAGGGTGATCTTGGACCGTTTTCCAAAAACTACAGCGAATCTCATCATTATATGGGCAAATCCCTGCTGAAACAACTGCTTAAACCCGCCTAGCCTGGTTAGCAGGTTTTAGCTGGTTGACCTGCCTGATTTTAGAGGGGTTTTCAATAGTAACTGGATGCAGCCTTTATGATGCAAGCTGAGATTGCATCACTCAGCGATGCAATGTCAGACACAATCCACTGAAATGGAGCGAGTGACATCACTGTGACGGGAAGGGTTAGGTGAGTCCATTAAAAAGCATTGGATGCAGCTCAAATTGCACTGCACCAGG